GCTCCTAATCTCAGCTCGTTACCTGTATAAAAGACACCTGGGAGCCAGAAATCTTTCTGATTGAGAGGGGGTCAAATACTTTTATCATTAAAATGCAAATCCATTTTTGACATGCGTTTTTCTGGATTTTTTTGTTATTCTGTCTCTCATTTCAAATATACCTACCATTAAAATTACGTACAAAATCAGCAGGGGATCAAATACTTTTTTCCCTCACTGTAGCCTGTAGGTTTGCTTCCCCATTGCCACATATATAACCTTGTTGTAACAGCTCTCTCGCTGGTTCAGCAGTTCCACTGCTGGATTATATGTTTTTCGCCTGAGGACGACCGCTTGTGTTGCGATCGAAACGGCGTTTTTTATTTTATACATTATACAAAGTTTGATTTTCTTAGTTTATATTGAACTAAGGGCAAAAGGAAATACCAAGTGTATTTTGTTAAAATATAAACCCAATCTTTTGTCCGTTCAATGCGTTTACAAGGAAGGCGGACACACAGAGACAGAAAGACAGACAAAAAAATAATTTTATAGATAACAATACTAATGTATAAATAACGACTTAAAACAGTACTATGTTTGAAAATAGTTTTTTTACCCTTCTATCTGGCAACAAAACTGACACCTTTTTTACAAGGAGTCATGTTTGCATAGACCACAATACCTGCAGTCATAATGCAAACAAAAAACATAACTCTGATAATGCATTCCGACCGCAATACATTCCGACCGCAGGTATTGTGGTCAATGCAAACATGACTCCTTGTAAAAAGGTGTCAGTTTTGTTGCCAGATAGAAGGGTAAAAAACAATTATCATATTTTTTACTGGCAAATGAGGTTCAAATGGAGTACTATGTTTATTGCAGCTTGAGTAATAGTATGTCATGTGTAACCACTCAAATTGTTTAAGATTTCCCAATTGCTTTAACACTTCGCCTTTCGCAACCAATATCATCCATAAGAGGTTTTTTTGGGTTAGATCGTGTAAATATATAAATGTGTCGTTAAACCCGCCACCACCTGACACAGCCAATTAGTAAGGTTTGTCACGTAAACAGAACATATTCGTTACTAGTGTAACGACGACTTGACACACTTCTCTTGAGATGGCACTTTATTGAAGACACGTTCACTTGACACAGGCGGAGACCCCACTGCAACAGCCCCGAGTCTCCTGTGCATCTCCCTTGTATACGGTCTGAGGCCACAACCCCTTCCCGAACCTTCTCGCTGGCTCGAGACTCTCGCTCCACCAGCAGACACTACTGTCCTCTTCCGTCACCTGGCCACGCTCCCTTCTCGATCATTCCCATAGCCACCAGTCCCTGCGTACTCACAGCTGAGACCCCTATCATTACCTCCTATGGCCACTAGTCCACTCACACCGCAGGTAGACTCTACTGTCATTAAACTAGTACAGCACACTGTCCTGTACTATCTTCTTGGTTCTTTCGGTAAAGTCATGTAGAAGGGAAATAATAAAATAATTAGAAATAAAAAATAAAATTCTCACGACGTTTCGATTGCTACACAAGAAAATCATCATATCAGGTGTGAAAACCACAGCAAGAAAATTTGAAAATAAAAGTGGCTGTGTGGTTTTCACACCTGATGATTGCTTGTGTTGCAATCGAATCGTCGTGATAATTGTATTTTATTTATTATTATTATATTATTTCCCTTCTATGTGACTTTACTGAAAGAACCAAGAAGATGAATCCCTGCAGTCACGAAAGCTTTAAATCGAAATATACTGTACTAGTTTACAACTAGCATCAGGCGCACAGCCAGATTTGTGGAGAAATCCTGTTTTCGTTCCTTAAATAGAGGGATAGATGTGGTGCCATAACTAAGTGAGCCCTTCACGTGCGAAGGATGGGGGGGATTGATGGATGCATATAAATTACAATGGGTATCCATTTTCGGTTGGGTTATTCATATGGTAACGTACATTATGATTGCATTAAAATAGCAGTACCTGTTATTGTCTGCGTACAGGTGTAGTAGGTTCAAGGAGACTTGGACGACTGTAGTCAGAGGCACACTTATTTATTGACTACAGTTGTATATTACAGGCTGAGATATACAACACTTGAAGGGGTATCGGCCCCTTCACCCGTCTAACAGGGAGATCCCACAATCTGTCCCGGCTAGCCTACTCCTAGATCCTCCACTACAGGGCTAGGGGAGGCTAGCTGATCCAGCTCTGGTTAAGCTGGGATTACGGCACCCTGAGTCCCCAGACCGGCTCTTAGAAGAACATCGGCTCTGGGCTCTCGGGGCCACGCCACTGGCTTGCCCTGGTCGGTCCTGAGAAGGATGGCGATCCAGGGAAGTCCCAGGGCCTATCTAGCTGGTCTTCTTGCTTCGCTGGTTTAAGCTAAACACTGAACCCCGAGCCCTCCGGCTCACCGCCTTATATAGCAACTCCCCCACCGAGGGGTGGGGCCGTGGGGGATCCCAGCGCCGTATTAGCCCCCCAGTCTAAACGGTGCGGACGTGGATGTAAGCATCTCTTCGCGTGCGGGCATAACCACACCCGGTGTGTTTGTTTGCCCTCCCGTAACACCTCTACATCACCCTGACCTACGCTCCCTTTCTATATCAACACGAGGCCACTCCCTCCTTCTCGATCATTCTCGCTGACTCTGGACGCTCTCTTTACCGGCAGACTCCACCGAGGGGTGGGGGGGGGGGTCCTGAAAATTATATGTTGTTTTCCTTAGCAAATGGTCGACGCAGCCTAAGAGGCACGAGCATCTGAGCTCCCGTCGGGCCGGCGGTACGCGTACCGTCCTCGCAACCAGCGCCTGTACCGCCATCAAATTAGTAATCTCCATTGAAGTATGATGACTTGTGTAGTGAGTCCAACTAAGCAACACTATTTATTTCAGTAAGCTCAACATAACATAAGACAACCTACACTTGGTTGTTGAATGTCCATTTTGCCACGCTACGTGCAGAACTAGACACGGTTCGCTATCCCGGCCTGGACCACATGCTGGGTCCCGGACCGTGTGGCTAGAGGCTTCTTTTACCCTGACGTTGATCATTCATCACCAGCAACACGAAGAACCCCGAGCCCCTCACGGGGCCCGTTATATCGGCCTGGGCTTGGCTCCGCCCCTCGCCCCGCCCACCTTCTAGAACTCTAGAGCTCTTTCCCGAAGGCTCCCGAGAGCTCCTCTATACCACGTGACCGCCCAGCGGCCCCCGTCCACCGGTGGCTCCCCTCCAATATCATCCGGTCACGTGTCGGCAGGTCAACCAGCGTATCATGCCCCAACGTAACCCTGGCTGGCTGACGCTCCCTCTCGCTCCCTCACCGGGAGCCCGCACCGCACACTGTACGTAGTGCCTCCGCGCTGACCAGCGCTCACCCAAGCACCGCTAGGGCTGGTACTATGCCCAGTAAGCGGGCTACACATAATGTCAACACGTTCTTCACCGTGGCTTCGTAAGCCTGGCACTACACAGTGACATACACAGTCACTACACTTGTATAGGCATGCATTTAAGCAATGTATTATTTCATGATTCGGTTCCAAGCCGCACTAAGTTTGTAGCTATCCCATACGGTTCAAATTTTTTTTTCTCGCAATTTCGATAGATTCTCTAATTAGTCTTGGCCAGTGGTAACTAGTTTTGCATTGATTGTACGTATGCATAAATAACGCATTTGAAATGCATTAACATTTCATAATTATTCTTTGGTTCTTTCGGTAAAGTCACGTATAAAGTTCAAATAATAAATTACCAAAAGAACCAAAGAATAATTTCTGCAGTCATGAAAGCTCCAAATTAAATTTCATAATTAAGTTGTGGAATTGTTTCTTCTGGCAGTAAGGTGTAATAATAATTATGAAAAAGAAACATGCTAACCTAATGAGCGTCAATATAACTTCGTGCAGTTGTGGTTGTTTAATGAAGTAAATGTATGCATGGACAATGGATCTTGTTGTGCTGTAATAAAATTATTTGTAACACGCACATATCGTGCAAAAACTAACAAATCGCTATTCAACTGTGCACTCCGAGGTGTGGAGCATAAGCTCACGGTTCCTTCTGTGCCAAGTGTGGCGCCTTCAGCTGACTCCTGAAGCAAGAGGGCGTTTGAATGCTTTGTACGTGAAGCTGGAGAGAGTTACATATGACGGGAGCAGCCACAGACAAACACCGCTCATCAGCAGACCTTGGGATGTGCTCCATAGAACATAGTGGTTCTCTGTAAAAGCTTAGTCATTTCTAATCACGGTGTTCGTAATGAATGTCATAGCTGTGAGCATAGAATGATGCATTGACACCCCCCCCAGGGAGAGTCATGGCCTGTAAACTCCTCGGCATTTGCAGTGCCTGGTCACCTGCACGGATGACCTTAGGTGACATGAGTTCAGACAGCAGTGCAATCGATAGGTACAAGATTTATAACAATTCCTGAAGTGCAAACCTACACTGGGTCAGGTGGTACGTACTCAAGTGTGTCTCCTTGTGCATCTCGCTCCACTGATTGTAAGCAAAAAGCTGCTGGCAGAGGTGTTGAGTACTCGCCAATTGTGGGCTTCAGCAGAAGGAAGGAATTGGTGGTCAGGTGTGGTGTCATCTGGTATTGGCCAGCGTTGAGCTCTGTTAGGCATTACTTGTCAATGTGCTTTATTATCATGTGCAATTAGATAACATTGTCCCAAAAAGCTTCTGCCATTGTTACAGTAATAAAAAAACACATGCCCCAAACAAAACACTGTACGATAGGTTTCATACTTCGGTTGTAGTTAAGCCATATTTCTAGGCTCTTTCCCAACACTTGTTGTCATTTTAATGGGCATAGCCTTGTGAATGTACAAGACGAGTAGATTTTTGAGTTATGCTGAGAAGGAAATGTGTGAAATTGTTGTTAGTTATACCAGTTGATCATGATTCAATCATCATAGCCAAAACGCTTGTGGATATGAGAATGTACACAATGTATCAAATCACTTTTTTGTGTGTGTGTGTCTCGCAGGGATCCTACTGGGCGATCGACCAGAATCCTTCGGATGAAAATTCATCAACCAGACCCAAAAAGCGGCCACGGTCAAATGACAGGGTAAAGGATCTGTGCGTGCATGCGCGCACATCGTCTCGCCAGTTAAGCATACTAAAGGGCGCCTTGCACATAACGGATATCGTTACATTGAATGATATTAAATGTTTGTACATGTTACAGTAATATAAAGTACCTCCTATTTAGCATGGTTGGCTACTTATGGTGCGACAGAAGTTCAACATACATGAAGGTATTTTCATCTAAGGTTCTGCTACTTTGATATGTAGGGGCATGCTGGCTTGGATCTGTAAAAAGTTAAACCGCTGTGCTCACACGACTATAGCTATGATTAGGTAAATGGAGACCATTTCAGCCAGGAGAGGTTTTCTTTCTGTTGGCACCTGAGTTGATTTTCCCAGAGAAACCCGTATGATGCGAGAACACACCTTGCTGATCTCATCAAGGAGCATAGACCATCACGCAAACTCCGGTCATTCTTGGAGCAGGCTTTTGGCTAACCATTGAACAAAGACAGTCACTGCATTACGCGCTTTCAGATGCACTTTTGCAGCTGTCTGGAACCCTCTTCCTTCTGATGTTAGGAAGCCACTGGAGCTATGCACTTTTTAATCTAAATTGAAAACGAATTTTTCTCTAGAACTACTTTTTGTGTTTAGTTTGTCCTTCCCCCGCATCTTTGATTAGCATGTTTGGCTATGTCCGGTGCGAAATAAGTTTTACATACACACATACCCTTAAATGTTTCCCCTATAGGTCACACTGGCTACCGGTGATCAGCGTGCATACGTGATGCACTCGACTCATAAGAGTGCACGATAACAAGTGTTCAGATGTACCTGCTTGTTTTTGTGTTTACTTCAGCCAAATTTAATTCAAAGAACAACTCGCTCTTATATTGTAGATTTACACAGATTGTGTGTTCCAGGCTGTTCAAGATAAGTTTGGAGCTTTGTTGGTGAGGAGAAAAAAAGTGAATTAACTTTGAAATGCATCTCTGCAGTGCTCTTACATCATTTTGGTTTGGCTGCAGTATGCAAACACAGCATATCTGCAGCTACATTACTCTCTCAAATACCTGGAAATGTAAAGTGAGTCTGGACCATGGCTGCGAGTTTAATCTTCAGGGTGAAGTACAGTAAAATATCAATATTTCCCCCTCGTGAAGAATTATATCTTTTCGGCTACAGTCAGAAGGCTATAAACGCTATCATAGATCCATCTCGTAGTTTTTCCCTTTCAATTGCACTGAACTGCACTGATGTGAAATACACATTGCATCATTAAATAAGCCATAGAGATAGCAATTTCACTCCAGGTGTGCCAATAAATGCATTATAATGCTTCTGCTGCAATTGCGGTACTGGCGTGATGTACCTTAAAGTTCCTTTGCAGCAGAAATCCACGTTGCCCCCCTTCTACTCTCTCCCATAGGTTCCGCTGACATCCCCCAACCAGGAGGCGGATGCGCAGCAGGCGGGCGGTGCGCAGACCAACCCGCAGCTTTACACCATGCCTAGTCCCCAGGCACAGATGCCCTACAGCAGCCCCAACACAACGGGCGGCGGCAGCAGCAGCAGTAGCAGTGGCGGCACGCATGGACAGTTCAAGATCGCCAAGACGCAGACCAGCACGCAGAGCCAGTTCACCATCACGAGCGCGCAGCCGAACTCGCAGATGCCGTACAGCATGCAGAGCACACAGGCCAGTGCATCCTCCAGTCCCTTCAGTGTGGCCAAGGCCCAGGGCAACTCGCAGCAGCAGCACCAGTTTGCTGTGTCTGGTACTCAGAAGAGCCCCCAGGGGCAGGACTCGCAGTCGAGCACCCCTCCCCACTACGGCATGGCTAGTGCGCAGCAGGCGCATGCGCAGAGCACGCCGCCGTACGTGCTGCCAGATTCGCCACCACGCAGCACCAAGAAGCCCAAGATGTACGTGCCGGCGAGCGGAGCGCAGGGACAATTTTCGGTGGCCGACTCGCCGACCAGCAGCCAGAGCGGCTACAGTATCCCAAACACACAGGCGGCGGCCGAGGGCACGTACAGCGTTCCGAGCGTGCAGTCGGACGCGCTGAGTGCGCAGCCTTACAAGATGGCAGAGGCGGCGCCCTACGGCATGCCCAACTCACACGGGCAGACGGCCGCGCGGGGCATGTACGACATGCCAGGCGCACGTGGCCGCTACGGGATGGGCAGGACGCACGCGGCGCACGCCAGCGCGGTGCAGCCTTACGCTATCCCGCACTCGCTGGCCACGCCGCAGAACCAATTTGGAGTTGGTGGAGCGCAAGCTGGTGGACACGGCAATCAAGCCTATGGCTTGGGGCCATCCCAGCCCGGTGGCAGCACACGGGTAAGACCAGCCACATCTGACTCGGCTTCTTTCTACAGCATCGTAGATTTGTTACCATTAATAGCCGGGGGGGTGGGAGGGCAGTTGCTAATGCGTCAATTATAGTTTAATATTTAATTTCTATATTCTTTACCATTGAGGATTTTACGTAGTGTCAAGGTCAGGTTTAGGCAGTGTAATAAAGTGAATGATTAAGCGTTCTTTGAAATTGATGCACAATTAAATTGATTTATATTTAACCTTGATGCAGCACAGAATCCAGTTTGCCAAGAACCCATTCAACCTAAGGTTGTAGTTGACATTTCTTAACTCTTTATGCTCTTGTAATAACAAGTGATCCATAGTTTTGTGAATTAAGCTGCTCAAGTGAATTCCTAACAATTTTCATTTTAGAATTTGGTGAAAATCCAGTGATATCTACTCTGTTGTATGTGAGATATCGATATACAAGTAGTATTTACATTTTTGAGCTTATTCCTACTTAACAAGCTTAGCTCCGCTTCAAAAATGTTGGTTCAACATCTGAAGTTGAAACTCAGTATCGCTTGCCAGGCCTAGCCTTCTTGGAACCTCCTGCACAATTGATGTTTGTTGGTTCACGTTGAGTGTTAATGTTCTTCAGACTGAGTGTTTACCAAGATAAGCCACCTCATATTTCTAAAACTTTTACAAATTTTGGTAATTTGTTGCAATTTACACATTCAGAGTGCCTGATAACGATTTTCTAAAAGATGAGGTTTAGACTATTGTCTTATTTGCAGTGTTACCATGCTTCACAGTCTGTGTTGGTGTTTTGTGTGTAAGCGCATGTAAGAGTGTATATATTCAGCCTCGCTAGAAGAGAAGAAAAATGCATTGTAATATAGATTACAAAGGTGTAAATCTATAATAATATAAAATCTGAATTAGCAAGTGTAATAGAGTCGGTGTAATTTTCAAATGTATTTACAAAATGTGTCAATGGAGAGAACTCTTCAAATAACTTACATTGCGCCTTAGTTTTACAATGGGCTTCAGATTTTCCACAAATTCAAAGCACACTGACTATTCCGTTTCTTTTTAACTACTATTTTAAATATTTTGGTCATGCTGACCAAGAACCCCAACGGATTCACGAGCTGCCTATCTCAGAGCTCCTCCGCAATGAAAGCCTTGAGGTATCTCCGTGCTCACATGAGCAACGAGAGGTGGTCTTGCTTATCACCACTGTCTGTCCTGAGCCAGTGGTGGAAATTTTATATTATTATCACATCTCCTGTCTTTGCACAAGACGAGCACCAGTTTTCTTCCCAAAACTGGTGCTTATTTTATTAACTCTGCAGAGCTGATGGGTTGAGTTCTCCGACCTGAATTGAGCTCGCAAACTACCCAGTATTATGTTGTTTCATGCTAAGTGTTCATCACAGCGTAGCAATTTTCATTCTTTACAATGTACATTTTCTGATGTGCCAATAGCTTGTGGTTTAACTTAAAATGTTTTTCTATATTTTAAACACAGATGTACCAATCCTCGGGCACCAAAATGGGCTACGGAGAGCAGCCTGGCGGCTCCTACGGGCAGTACCCGACCACGGTATGCCGCGGGCACGTGAAACGGCGCCGTAGGCGCAAGCGACGGCGTATGAGTTGCGATGATGTGCTTTATCATTGAACGGGGAAGCTGGCGGAAGCACCACCTCTTCCTTCTGTTACCTTTGTAATTTTGAAAAGAAATCAAAATCCTATGAGATTGTGCCGAGAAACTGCTTGACACAGCTCACCCTGTGATATCACAGGCGCTCTTGATGAGCAAATCTGACCATAAAAGCAGCTGTCTGAGGCTTGATTGGCTGTCCAGATGTTGCCGTTATGAGTGAATATGGCCAGAGGGTTTGGGTATGCCAGTGTGGTGGTGCTGAGCGACGCAAATAGCACGGAGGCTCCTGCTATGTGCCATTTACGTATTGCATTGTGTTGTCACATCCCCTGTCCACGCATTGTCTGCTTTTTTCAGATGTCTGACTGTTGGATTTGTTTTGTTTTACCACTTGTGAGAATTGATTGTGAGATGACTGGGTTATAAGTGCTCATGAGTGCATAGCTGCAGTACTCTGCTAATTAACGGTCACCAGTAGTACTGTGGCTGTTAATATTCACGCAGCTCTTTGCTCTGTTCTTTTACGGCTAAAGATGCAACAGAAGGAATACCTGTGTAATTCTTGCGGTGAACCATTTATATATAATGATTCATCGTCCCACGCCTCAAGGAATTGTTATTATTCTGCTTCACGATTTATTTTAGGAACTGATCATTTTTTGCCATTTTATTACGTGGAATTAAGTGGCAGCAGAGCTCCCATAAACCAATCGCGTAGAACATGCATGAATTAGATGTAATCAAATCTCACGCACGGTCCGACGCTTGCATCGTGGACATATCTATTTTAATCGATGAATCATTCCATGCTCGGTTTTTATACTTTTTTTTTTCCTCCATGACATGTGAGAGCGTTGCCGTGAACCCCATGTAATAGACACCTTGGCTGGACAAGTGCTCAAAGCACGTGGTTTGCTCACCCTTTGCTTGTGTGTGGGGGCTGCGAGTAGGCATTTGGCACGCACGCGCCCAGCGCACCAGGACACGCGCACAACCCCGGCACGCCCACGCACACCACCCCGACGCCGGCGGAGCCCTTCGACTCGCAGCTTGGCGGTGCCGATGGCAGCCGGGAGCCATCGGAGCCGGTGGGGCGTGACGGCGGACCCGACGACAAGCTGCACTTTAACATGCAGGGCAACGCCGACGATCTCAGCCAGTCCTTCCGTAGCCTCTACCGCAATGTTTTTCAGGGTGCGTGCACGGGGGGGGGAGCCTGCCGGCATCGCGTACCTGTGTTTAGCGCGAGCCGGGCGTTGTGCGAGATGTACGCGTACGTGCTTGGCATTGTCATTTAAAAGATGGACGATGGAGAGATGGAGCTTAAACAGGAGGTGGAATAATGTGGGAAAAAGTTTAGGAGTGTAAAAGTTGCCAACAAATCCGAAACTCATTTACTTGTGAGGCATGTCGAAATGTAACAGCGAGTGATATTGCTCAAATAATACATCGTACTCTTTGGTTCTTTCGGTAAAGTCACGTAGGATACAAACTGAGCAATCATTGGAAGGACGTTATTAACCAAGTAAAGTCTTAACCGACTGTGATGTTTCCATCCTACCTGCCTATGTCAGCTGTTATTTCGAACTCTTTGAGTACATCACCAGGCTAAATATCTGTGAGGCAGCCCAGGCACGAGGGATCCCCACCACCTCCGGTGGCTGGGACCGTCTCACATTTACATGCTAATCTCTCACATTTACATTTACGTACAAATTCCTTCTTGAGCTCCGCCCACTTACCCTTGGGTTGAGCCCACCAAAATCCTATATAAACTCTTGTTGCAGCAGCTCTTTCTCCTATGTCAGCAGTTCTCCTGCTGTATCCGTTCCACCTGATGACGGTCGCTTGTGTTGCGATCGAAACGTTGTGATTTATTTTATATCTACATGACTTTACCGAAAGAACCAAAGAGTATGGATTCCTGCAGTCACAAAAGCTTCAAATCAAAATAATACATCCTTGAATTTTGTTATGTGCAGGAGATTCATTAGTTAATTATAATGCAATTGTGAGGCAAAATTAAGGATTTTTGGTTGCTTCTAAGAACCTTTTTTTTTGGCAGCTAGATGGCTTGCATTACCGTGTAATGTGAAGTATTTTGTTCTTTACCAGAAAATCATTCACTCAGTCCTATTTATGCAGTGCACTGGCAGCTGCCAGTGCTTGAGGCCTTTTATAAGGCTCTGTTACAGAAACCTTGTCTTTGCTCACAGCCCTTCTATAATAAATAGTGGGAAACGAATACCGTAATACCCTGATTTGCGTCGCCTCAACGCACACTTACGTTGCTGACAGCATCGTCTCGTGTCTGTCGCCTCGGCCTTCGCCTTCACCTACCCCGTAAATGTATTAGATTTACGTCGTTTTGAAATTGGTCGCCCCTTTCAAGACCGCAACGCCGACATAAATCAGGGTATTACTGTAAGAACTTGTCAGCTTAATTCAACTAATATGGGTATGGTGTACATTAGCCTATTATTGCACCTCCGATTGGCACGATTGGTTACGTACGGTGCAAAAGAAGTTAAACATACATACATATTAGCTCAGTAACCCCCTCTCTTCGAAAAGTAAACTCGCCATTGCCTGTGTTGTGTGATAGTTAAATGTTTTTGTGCATCAAAGTCTTAGTTATGTCTGTTATTTGGGTTCCTACCTCCGTTTCTTGGGGTTTTCCAAAGGTTTTTCAGTTGGGTGTCTTCACTGATTGGTGTGCACTCTTTGGGCTAGACATTTATGTTAACTTGAAAACCCAAGAGATTGCACTCTGTTCTAGGTGTACAATATGGTACCACAACTTGTAAAGTTTGAATTCCTGTCATTGGGACCAAAGAGAACGATGCTTGTTTCTCATTCACCTGTGGCTGTTTCGCTCGCTCCCGTTGCGTGTCGCACAGGAATGATAAACCCAGCGGCACAAGGCGGCAGTTGGCGATGGGGCAGGCAGCGCGCCATCGGCCGAGCACTTGGGCCACGCCACCCACCAGGCTGTGACGCACCCCACGCCACGCCTCTCCCACCAGGGACCCACCGGCTGCCCGTATGGGACCAACGCGGGTCACGCCGCACAGGGCGTTGGCAACGGAGGCCCACGTGAGTAGCTGGCTGGCTGCACATGTTCTGGGAGATTATCCATTTGAATATATGTGTACACTTGACTTTTTTTGTCATTCCACTGCTGGATAAAGGTCTCTCCATGCCACATTGTGGGGATTAGTGACCATACTTGGACACAATGATCAGTGCAAGTCGATGAAGGCGGGGAGCAGGGAGCATAGACGGACGTTGCGAGCGTTTACAATGCAACTGTAGATTTTTTTATACCCCCCTCTACTAATATAACATAATCAAACAAATCAAATCAAACTTTACTTATATAGCACAATTTGTGAAAAGACAAATTAAAAGCAACTGACACAATTTAAACAACAATAACAATGGTACATAAAAAAAGATGTAACAATGAACTAAGAGTATAGAAAGCATAATAAGCACACAATCGGGGAAAAGCCCTGTAGGAGCCGACACCTGTGTTATGCATAATGATTAGCCATCATATTATCCAGCTTGTAGCCTGCTTAACTTCTGAGATCTGATGAGATTGGGCATATTCCAGGTTATAGTTTCATAGGCCACTTAAATACAGTATATTATGATGTGAACGCTGTGTGTGTTCATGATGTTCTCAGATCCGTAAATGTTGCTGTACTTGGGTTGACAGTACCGAGTCCCGGGCTCTGGTCTAACCTGGACCTGCTGAAGGAGAGCTGTCGACGAGCCTCCAGCTTCAATTGGGCCGAAGTGGACATGTCCCAGTATCAAGGTGAGTTGTACGCAGCAACTCTGCAGCACCACCACCCCTTTACCTTACACACAAGGTGGTGTTGTTACGTGTTCATAAACCATTCATGTACGTGGCTCCATTTTTATCAGTGCAGCTCTGACTTAATCAGGTTAGTGGTATGGCTTGCTCGTAGGAGGGCACAAATCCTTAGTCTCCCCCCCTGCCCGTTGCCCCAGTCGGCTTCCACTTAATGTGAGGTCGCTCATTTTCCCATGTTCTCTGGAGCTCCCCCTCCCTATGGTCATCCTCTTGCTGACACCATTATAAACTCAAGACCTTAATATGCTTCTACATTTTTTTTTTAATGTGAACAGAGTTATTATCCATAATATAGGTTTTTTTTGGGTTAGATCGTGTAAATATAAATGTGTCGTTAAACCCGCCACCACCCGACACAGCCAATTAGTTTGTCACGTAAACTGAACGTGGCAATTCGTTACTCGTACAGCACACCGGTGTGTTGGAGAGCAAATCCACAACATTTACAATCGGAGTCCGACGTTTCGCGAGTAATTACCACTAGCATCATCTGTCGCATAGCAAGATTTGTGGAGAAATCCTCTTGTTTTTGTTCTGTAAATAGAGGGATATATGTAATGTCACTTGTGATCCCTTCACGTGATAAGGGGGGGGGGGGGGAATTAATGAATGCATATGAATTACAATGGGTATCCATTACCAGTTGGGTTATTCATATGGTAATAAACGCACATGCATGCACATTGTTGCAATAAAATATCAGTACCTGTTACTATCTGCCGACAGGTAATCCCCATTGACTTATGGTGGTGACCTGTATAGGCATGCATTTCAACAATGTATTATTTTGATTTGAAGCTTTCGTGACTGCAGGAATCTATACTCTGTGTTGCGCCCGAAACGTCGTGATTTATTTTTATTTTATACCTACGTGACTTTACCGAAAGAACCAAAGAGTAATGTATTATTTGATGATTTGCTTCCAAGCAGCACTAAGCCAATAGCTATCCGAACGGTTGAAATTATTTTTATTTCTCTCAATTTCGATAGATTATCTAATGTTCTGTTTGTTCGTGACAAACCTTACTCATTGGCTATGCCGGGTGGTGGCAGGCTTAACGGCACATTTATATTTATGCGATCTAACCCAAAAAAAAACTATTATGGATGTAATTGGTCACGAAGCTAACGTGTTAAACAAAGTATTATTAGTTTTATTGTTTTTTGTTCTTTCACGTATGTCCACAGTTTTATCGCACGTGAAAAATATTTCAAGTCTTAACTAAAAATGAAGCTTATTATAAATGTGTAAAATCTTATCACATAACTGTGATCCTGCTATATCTTCTCCACTATAATTAGGCTCCCACTTCCAATTTGCCATCCCTCCCGATTTACACATCTTCATATGCAAATTACTCTCTGTGCTTTATGCATATAAATGGTAATGTACATACACAGATGCCCTTTGTTCTTTCAGGGGTATCTTTGTATCTAAAGTGCTGGGCAGCGCAACACCCCCTCCCACAGGTGTCGGTGTCATGAAGACTGATGAACGTGCACCATTTAGGTTTTTATGGGGCCTGCCCCCTGTAATTAGTATTATTTCTCATTGGCTCAGCATGAATGATGGGCTAGTAAGTATAGAGGGGTTAAGAGGCAGCCTTTTTGAAGTTGTACTAATGCATCCCACCACATGTATTCATGTAAAGGTTACGATAACACACGGTGTGCTCATTTTAAAAACAAGGATGTTGTGCCTCTTGCCTTCAAGGATGCTTTTATATTCCCTTCTTAAGGACTACAGATGGTATGTAACTGAAGAGGCATTTTAACGTCCAGTGCTGCTTACTAAACTTCGTGCGGGATAGTATTTTTTAAAAGAATTAGTATTTGTGACCTGACATACAGCAGCATGACTATTTTGAACGCGTGAGCAGTACCCGTTTTATCAGCCTCTAATATCTTGTTCGTGTCGAAGGTACAACAGGCCGTCCAAATCGGCAGTCACTTTGTCTTTCTACCATTGCGTTCTCTCAAGAGCCAACTTGTTTTTAGCTCGGGCGTCTCTGCTTGGATGGGTGTCGTGCTCATGTGTCCAACCACCCGCAGAGTTGCTGGAGAGCATGCGGCGGGCAGACATGAACAACTGGTGCCTGGACACGAGCCAACTGGCCGACCTGTGCTCCTCCCTGGGACACTTCTTCTCCCAGACTGGGCTCTTCCAGCCAGTGGGCCGAGACCAGCTGCCAAGTGCCCCTTCACGTATGCCGCTTTCTTTCTTGTCCTTATTTTATGCAAGAGCGTAATGTATTTCTGTCATTATTCATTTGACTCTCTGAAAAATATCAACTGATTACTTCAAAGACTAACCGCCAAGAAACAGGATGCCTTTGCAGTTGATTAACAAAGAGAAGGTGGAGAAGACTGATTACATCATGGGACATTGGAATGGAATGGAGCACATTGGCACAAGATTGTGGCAACTGCTGAGAAGCAATATGATAATTACGTGAATTAAAAACCTGGTTGACAGTACTTGCTCTACTTTTGTACGGAGGAATATTGCAGAAACGAATATTCATTGCTTACCTTTGACAGTCTGCCCTAATAGTGAAACTCAGCATTCACAACATTTTGTAATAGGTGACGTTTTGGACAATGCCCATTCTTCATATTTCACAACTTTTTATAAATACAACATTTCATAGAGCCTTTGCCCCATATATAACAGCCATTCCAAGCTCTTTGCCTGTTCAGAAAAGAGTTCAGCTCACGAGCACCCTGACCTGGACTGAGTGGCTCTTGTTTTGGTTGGGTTGTGTACCCATCCCTTTTTAAAGATGCCCACAAACAAAACACATCGGTTGCACTCGCAGCAATTCGTTCGCTACAGATGGGGAATTTGAACAACAGCATCTGCAAGTAACAAAGAAAGTTATCAATCTCTTACTAGCAGGAGTCCCCGGAACTTCGGCGGGGAAAAGGATGGCAAATATTTCCCTTTTGTCTCGCCCCCTGTCGTCCACTTCACCCGTGACGTCATCAACCACTCTCCTCACCACCCCAGCATCACGTCAACTTCCCTCCTCACCAACGGACCTCAATCTAGTGACGTCATCACCCCACTGCGCCAACTTGCCAGTGTCGTGTGACGTCATCACCCTCTCATCACTGCCTTCTGTCCCGTGACGTCATCACCCCCCCCTTCTCCCTCACAACATCACCCCAATCTTGTATGACGTCGGTACTCCAACAACCCAGCGTCTCTTGAAATCAACAGCCCCTCCACTTACACCTCAGGCCAATCAACTCCTCCCCTCCACCTCAGCAGTGTGGCCAACCCCCCTCTACCCGTGGCTAAACTAGTCCCCCCCCCCCCCCCACTGTGCTTTGCAGACAGACAAAAAAAATACTCTGCATATATTATCAGAGTATTTTTTAGTTTGTTTGCATTCTGACCACAAGTATTGTGGTTAATGCAGACATGCTTCCCTGTAAAAGGTTTTAAGTTTGGTGTTTTAATATCTGAACACCTGTTTTGTTGCCAGAAAAAATGGGAAAACCTATTCTCATATTTTGGTACTGGTAAAGGAGGTCCCAAAATGTATTTTGTACTTTAGTTTTTCAATGCGCACACTTTAATTTGAGTTCTAACTTTTTTACCTTTTTTTTACTTTGATATACTGAATATGTTGCGCCTTTCACCCTCTCAGGTGCAATGTATGGAACACCTGGAAACATGGTGGGGGCCTCGGGCTATCCACACCTCACTGCGCCAAGCAACGCAAACGCTCACCCAGGTGCCAGTGCCTTGCACCACACACTATTGCCAGCGAGCTCCGCGCAATTGAATTTACTGCTTTAGTTGGAAGCGTAAATTATAAACGGAGCCACGATTGCACACGGTTGCCTTATTCTCCATGCATTGTGAATATCTAAATGTTCGTGAGATGGTTGTATTTATATATTTTGACTTAAAACTTTCGTGACTGCAGGAATTAATGCTTTGGTTTTTTCGGTAAAGTCACGTAGTGATAAAAAATAATAACAATAAAATAATAATAAAAAGTGAATTAAAAAATAATAAAAATATCATGACGTTTCGATGGCAACACAAGCGGTCGTCATCAGGAACAGGGAGGTTAGCTTCTGAGGGAAAGCTGTTTATGAAGGTTTAGAGATGGCCGGGGCAGCTAATGTTAATGTAGGAGAAGGCTCCGATACTGGCAGTATGTCTACACCAATTAAAGCATTGTACCTCGCTCCACACACCCACACTGCTGATGGTGGAGGTGGACAAGAAAACACAAATTGAAACTGTTTTCTTGTTCAACTCCACCGAAACTGTGTTTTCTTGTCCACCTGCTATCTTGCAATCCTCGGGGTGAGCAGCTCTCAATGTCCTGATAGTGCGTTGTCTTAGTGCTGTTCGCCTTTTGGCGTCCTCTGGTCTAGCACTGTTTGAGACTAGGCTCTAGAGAAAGCTGTCTCTGGTATGGACCAATCAGTTTCAAAGACAATGCATATACTGTCAGAGCATGTTTTTTGTTTGTATTTTCACCACTAGTATATGTGGTTAATGCAGACATGATTCCTTGCAAAAGGTTTCAGTTTGGTGTTTTAAAATCTTAACACCTGTTTTGTTGCCAGAAAAAAAGGGGAAAACCTATTCTTATATTTTGATACTGGCAAAGGAGGTCCCATGGTATAATAAACATAAATAAACATGACATACCTTTTAATTTTAACGATGGTGATGACAATGAGATGGGGAAAGAGGTGGTTAGAAGTAGGGATATAGCCCACAGAAACAACACTCTCACCTTGACCATTCGTTGCATGCTTCGGGTCCATGCTTAAGGGAAAAATTAATGTGGTTGCGATGCGACACGATCTATGCGCTCCGAAAACGACAGTTCAATATGTACAACAAAACAGACGGGCAGCTGATTGGCTACGCAGCATCACGGGTGGCGCTGTTGTGTAGAGGAGTACCATGGCCCCACGAAATTTGTAAGAATTACGTCACACAATTCAATGATGTCATGCTGTGATGCAATGATATCATACCTATGTCACGTGACTTCCTTAACACCAGGCTTTGGTTAGTAAATTGGTATGCAAATTATGAACCAATGTATACATGAAACCGCGGTTGGCAATCCGCAGATGGCCATGAATTCCCGTATACAATTCCTTTTTAAGGCAGTGTTGTTGACTAATTTGAACGTTTTCTCGCAAGTTAGTTGGAGCAGTGACACCTCTACGTTCTCTATTCAGAAAGCCTGTATACTTATCTTTATTTAGTATTCATAATTGTGAACGCCTGCAGTCATTCCTTGCAAAAATTACCTTTTACGCGTAATTAAAAATGAAAGTAATTTTAATGAAGTGGAACTCTTGGAGTTGACCAGGAAATATGTCCATTCAAGCCTGCTGGCTTGCACTGCTATACTTTAACGTGTAACCATTTAACAGTGGTGGATTGTACATGGCAACAGATATACAGCCGTCAAAGTAGTCTAATAATGTCATTACAAATGCATATGTACATGCGTATGCTATATAAACGTGATTGTGAAATATTTTATACCCTTTTCTAATTTTTAGCTCTTTAGTGCAGTACCAGTGGAACCTGTTTCCGCATGCAAACTGATTATGTACACAACCAAAAGCGTTTAGATGTTTTGTTCACGTTTTACAGTGAATGAGGATGCTCTTATGTTGGAAAGAAACATAATTGGTTGATACTTTATGCATACAATTGTATGTACGGTGTTGCGTGTTGTTTATAAGCACACACGTTACGTAACGTTTATACCGTACTGTTTGTGTGTGTGTGTGTCTGCCATGTAGGCCAACCCCCGCCCTTGTACCACCTACCACTGCCACAGCGACGCATCAGCCAAGAGGAGATAGAGAACGACTTTGACTGGGATTCCATTGTGTGAGGCCTGCGTGGCGAGCGGGATGGCCTGAGTGGATGAGCGCCGCTCCACACAAGCAAACTTGAAAACTGTAAACTCTACAAAACACTTTTCTGAGAAGGTGGATAGGAATTTTAGTTGAAAATCCTACTTCACGCAGTTGGCAAATGGTAAATGTACCAACTAAAAAAAAAACAAATGTCTTAAATATGGAAGTAAGTTTTACACACTGGGGCACAATGACATTAAGGTTGTGGGAAAAGAAATACATTTGGGAAGGGTTCTTTTTGCACATTAAATATGGGAAACTGCGGAAATGAAAATGTTTTTATTCTTCAAAGATACGTTTATAAACGTATCCTAAAAACAAGTATTACAAACACCTGGTCCAAAGGGATGTCTGTAATAAAGTTTAAAATTACGTCCCCTGAGCGTGCCAATAAGAAAGATACAGTAATATAAACGAAAATATGTGATAGTAATATAAAATCTATTAATTTCTATATATGAACATAGTTGAATATATATGTGGATGCATAAAAATAAAGCGTTGGGCAACGAGAGGGGGGAAAGTGAGCGGGCACGTCGACACCACAGTTTCGGCGCTTTTCCACCTCCTCCGCTGCCACCGCCACCAGACGACCCATAATTGCGTTCTGGAGGGTTTTTGTCCACAGACAATCATTTTAAATGTTTTATAGACGCGAGGTTAAATGTGCACAAAGTGTAGTAGATTGGTTGGAAGAGAAAATCAAGGATACAGTTCAAAGTGGGCCCTGTTTTTTGAAGACGGTGCACAAAGCAGGTGCTGCTGCCACACTCGTCAATTTATTTTTTTTGTTTTTGGAAAACGAGCTTGGGGGCTCAACATTATTTTTCAAAACAAACTGCCATGCTTCTTCTTGGGAGCAGAAAACTTGTGCAAATACATATTTTAAATGGTCAAAAAATATATATTTAGAGGGTTGAAAAGTTGTGTGGCTTTGGCGCGTGGGTTGGGAGCGAGCTGGGGGCATCGTTGTACCCCGCACGGTGCTACAAGGGCCGCGCGGCCTCACGGCATGTGTGACTATCGAACGTTTCATACCGTTTTGATACAAGACTTGATATTGATGTACTATCAATTGAATTATTTCCACATTATTGGAATCGATATTTTTTTACCCATTTGGCCAAATTCGGATTGTCAATTTGATCATGTACATACCCAAAAATATATAATGCTTAAAAGCGTAATGTGAACTTTTAACCCCCTTGTAACATCTGCTTTGAGGCTTTTGTAGTTTTTTTCCCCCTTAGATTTAAAAAATCTTGTCGTGAATGATTTTTTAGTTTTTTTTTTATTTAAACAGATGCCAGCGATAGACCTCAGTCTAAGCAGATTTTGTTGCTGGGGTGAATGCTTTGTTTAACGTACAGTGAAATTATTGATATCGCATCGATATTGTGGTACATCGCTTGATATCGTATCGATATAGTGCGGAGCGCAGGAAAGAGATATCTCACATCCGTGGTGGTGGTGGTGGTGGTGGTGGCATGTCGGCTCACGGGTGGAGCGATGGCAGGGCTGGAATGTTGTGTGGGATGGGGTTTTTACAGTTTGGAATGGGTGGGGAGTAGAGGTGTAGCTGTAATCGGGGAAGGGATGGGCGGGCCATGAGGGAGTGCAGTACTTCGATGCCGTCCTGTGAGCCCGTCTACCTTGTCCACCCCAGGGGCGGCGTGGCATGGTGGTGGACACACCGAGGAGCCCCCACAGTGCCATGGGCCCTATGGCTCTCCCTCGGGCCAGCAGCTGCCCGCCCAGCTATGTGCTGCTGGCAACGCGGTTCGCGTGACAGTGCGAGCACACGATGATGAGTCTGTGCTTTTGTATTACTGATGTAAGTGGTCTGTGTGGTCATGACGTGATGATGCTAGCCATGCGGTAGCGTAACGCAATGTCAATTATGTAAACCTTTTTGAATTTTTTTTAACGGTCATTTTTACGTACGTTGCCCACAATGCTTTGCATTGTATGCTAATGAGCTGGCTATTTTCCTCGTTGATTGGCTGAAAGATTGCTGTGTGTTTGTGGCGTGATGTGTTAATTATCGTGCAAATTAAAGCAACAATTACTGCCTTAATTGCTTAATTTGCATAAAACACTATAGGCACTTTGCTTTGTACTTACCGCCAGTAAAAACGTATCTTATTGGTCAGCACTTAACCTTTTTACAGTAAAACCGTTTATGATTGGTTAGGAAGGCGGCATCTACTCTAAAATATTGGGATGTAATGGAAATGAGGCTTAATAGTTTAATATTTCTTATAAGATCATTAAATCACAAATTAATGTAGGTCGGCATGAAAATGTTTACATTTTAGCACCTGTAAGGCGACTGGGTTCTGTGCCATTTCAGATGAACGTTGGCGACTTATGGAGGCACCATCCGAGTAGCCTTACTCATGTGACAGCCCAAATCCCTTTTGTAAATTTTCTCTTCAGTTTTTAACGCTTAATGCAATATAATGAATGAATATACAATTAATAAATTGCATGTAAGTTCTTATTTATTTTTTTTTGTTAATTTTCATATTTCAATGAGACCATGGTTTTACTGTAAAATAGATTTTGACCAATCACAAACGGTTTTACTAGATATATAAAACATCCTTATGTGTATATATTCAACTTACAGTTTTTTGTGTGTACATATATTTATACATATGTGTTTAAGCTTTAAGTGTCATATACTATCATAATAAAAAAAAAGAATTATAAGAAAAAAAAATAATTATCGTTCGGCTTGTTAGCGCTTTGAGAATGGCGCCATTGGGTTGATTTTTTTGTAAATTTTTACGGAATTTATTGTCGTGACAGTCACTGACACAGCGGTGACCCTTGGAAGTATGTAGTGTAACGGTGCGTGGTGCTTAGAGCTTCTGTGTGGTGTCTGTGGCCTACAACCCAAACGCTCCCGCTCTGCCTTGTGTACACAGCTGTGCAACTTCACCGCAAATACTATTTACATGCAAATCTAAATCCCGAGGTATCGTACACACAGTACACATAGTTGTAATGTATATGTGATTGTGTGTATATGTATATACAGTGTGTGTGTGTCTACATATTTAGTACAGACACGTGCATATTTATGTAATGCACACACACAAACACTTGGTAGGCCATAAGGTAACAGCAGAATAAGTATAATGTATGTCGGGTTGAAACCCCACCCCGTCTGGTGTCTGACCCCAGCTGTTGCTCGATATAGTCCTGTCCCCGGTTCTTTAACTTTTGTTTATATCGTATGTATTTTAACAGCTTTCCATGTCAGACTTGTGTGGTATAGCGGCTTGATACTGTTGAAGCAATAAACGGTGTTTGTAAGGACGTCGGTGTACCAAGCCATGGATTGCTCAGAAGTACGGTGTGATGTTTGCTGCCATTGCCCTGTGGCATTCTGGACACGTGTCCAGCTTGGTGTAATTTCCACCCACGTTCACAACTCTTGTGACATTCTTCATCAAGCACATCTCAAAACAAGAGCTGAAACGAGTGAGCAAAATTAACCGTCAACATATGTCGAGCATCGAGGCACTCGACACAGGTCACGTGAACGAGCTACATAAACCACATTGCTCGGTGCAAATTGTTCATTGGTGTGATTTGCCTCATAAATAAGCCTGCCATTTACACGTGCCGTTCATGGCAATGCTGTCCATCGTAGCACTTGGCTATTTTCACGTAGGACAAGGTTCAGTTTCAAAAGCCAAGATCAATCCACTACTGGATGAAGGTCTCCCACATCACCGTCCCTCACGGTTTCACCGTTGGATGAGTGAATCTAATTGCTCCAGCTTTGGACATCCGCTCGTGCACGTTTCCTCGTGTTTGTCTGTCACACCATGACTCTCGTCCATATGCTATCCTGGCCAAGCCCATTATTTTTGGTTGTTGATATAACCCTAATTTGATGTTTTTTTATCCATGCGTTCCACTTCTGTCTCGGTATAATTAGTGCATGCATTTTTCGACGTTTTGAATTTTCGGTTTTCTATTTTCTTTACCTCCCTACGTCTTTCCATTCTCCATTCCTCACTCTTCCTTTCACCTATCGGTCTCTTCCACCTCGCTCTTAACGTTATCTTATCCACACCCCTCCATTTTTTCCCTCCTTTTTCTGTCACCTGTGTAATGTATGGTTCGGTGTTAATGCCCGAGTTCTCAGTCTGGAACACTTCCGATATTCGGAAGCCACTTGAGCTTTTACATCTAGATTGAAAACTCATTTCTTGAGAACTGCTTTTTGTGTTTTGTTGGTTGTCCTTCCCCCGCATATCCGATTAACACAGTTGGCTATATACGGTACGAAAGAAGTTCAACATAGAGCCAGATTAAGGTTACATTAGGATTCTGCGCTTCATTGAAAAGTACTAAGATTAGACGAATGGATTGAAAATAATATTGCAGCTGGAGAGCGAGAAGAAGCCTGCTTTAGGCAAATTAGGGTCCCTGGTTAATGACAGGCTGAGCCAGACGAAGCCCCCTCGTTAAGGATGTCTTGTTGCAAAAGGTGACACTTCTTAATACGTACGTGACCACTCTTACGCTCCACATTTGTAAAAAAAAGTCTTATCCTATTAAAGGTGATACAGGCTTCAGAGCTCTGCGATGGGCAGTAAAATGGTAGTGCAGCGAAATACGTTGTTGTACTGAACTTCTATGCTGCAACGCCAGTGCTCCCCGTCTTCGCTGCAGGCATGATGAAACACGTTCCTTCGGAGTTGGCAGGGAGGAACTTGGTTGGACAGCCCAGTCGTGCACGACAGACAGACAAATAATCCCTGGTGGGCAGTGTGGAACCTGTTGTACAAGTGTAGTGTATCGTGTCCTTTATAGTGTAGTGTGTAGGTTAAACGTTGAGTTTTATAAGGGCACCACGGGGTGACCAGCCCCTCCCCACCCAGCCCCACCCTCCCCTCCCCATATGCACGACAGACAGGCAAATAATCCCTGGTGGGCAGTGTGGAACCTGTTCCTACCTGTAAAATGCATTGTCATATAATACTCCGTAAAGTATTTTCTTTTATTGGGGGGTGGGGTTAATTTATATGCTTCATGTTAACCTAAAATGCATTAATTTGTTTTATCTTTTACAAGGAATACATTTGCTTTTTTGGACAAACTGAATCACCTTAAGGCTGGGAATGTTGAAAGATACACGAGGCAAAAAGATCCGCTTTTTTTTTCAAGGCTTCCATTTTATGAATGGAGCCACCCTCCCCCAGTTCTACTTTGTGAATGAAACATCGCCCGTCTCCTCATTGGCCCGAGTCGCGGCGGTGCCCCCCCCCACTACAACCTCCCCCCCTACCAACCCAAACCCACCGCTCCCATTGGTCGGTGAAACCCCGCGAGCTCGATTAATTAAATAATTGCATTCGGCGCCTCCGAGCCAATGGGAGGGCTTCTGGTGGGGCAGGGCCGTGGTATGCACGACAGACAAATAATCCCTGGTGGGCAGTGTGGAACCTGTTGTTCCTACCTGTAATCTACCCCACGATAGATACGGCGTGGAGTCTATAATCCAGCAGTGGATACATTATCATTACATCGTGTAAAATTGGTTCACTAAATATACCATTCTCATTCTACCGATAGTAAAAGAAACTCAACGTGTCAAAAACACCGCCTTATAAAGTGAATGTTAAAATTAGCGATGGTACGGGCAATGTCGCAACTACATTTAATATAAATAGGCCAGTGGATAATAGTCGGAGGCTTTTTTTCAACCATGGGACCTGCAAAGATGTTTAAAATGTTTCCTTCGTGAACAGTTTTCATCCTAAGAATAGTAACGAAATTGAAAAGTAACGAACCCTTCAATTGTCAAAAATGTAGCATTACTAAATAAACTTCGCATTAAAAATATGATAAACTGTAACCCATCGTACAATTCGGTATGTTTTACAGGCAAAACCCACTAAAATGTAGCAACTTAGCTGGGCGCACACGGCGGGACTCGAGATGAAATGTCTCTTAAAACGTGCGACTAAATTCAACATCTGAGACATTACAATTGTAATAAACCACTTCCACGACGACTTTGGACTGGTGTCTTTTATTTAACAATGTCCGCACAGCTCCGCGCTCTCTCTCTCTCTCTGGGTAGTTCTCTCGCTCCCTCGTCCGCGGTGTCGTTGGCGAGGAGAGTTCAAGCGGCGCTGGAGGTTTGCCACGTGGTCGTTGGCGAGGAGAGGTCAAGCCGACCCCGAGTCCTCTCCTGCCTCTACTTATATACCCCCCGGCGGAGCTAAGCTCTCTCTACGACCACGCCCTCTCGTGGAACCCTCGAGATCAGGGGTGGGGAACGTCCGGCCCGCGAAATCATTTGGTGTGGCCCTGCCAAGGCAACCGCAGCGGGACTCGAAATTCAATAAATCGAGGAGCAAACCTGTAAAATAATTTGCGAGTAGCAACATCATCAATACCAGCTAACATCACACGCCTCGCCAAAGAGAAGCAGTTACAACCATCACATTAGGGGTGAGTTAATTAAATATTTGACCAAATATAACGGGCTAATTTTTCAGTTGATAATTTTGTATGGCCCGCAAATGATGTTATAAATATCCAAATGGCCATTGGCAGGAAAAAGGTTTCCCACCCCTGATCTAGATGGTTCCCGAATATTCCCCGGAGCTCCGCTGGTTACCTTTGGCCTAGATTGAATCCCTACTCCAGATTGAAACCCTACTCAAGATTTAATCCCCCTACTCCAGATTGAACCCCCCTACTCCAGATTGAATCCCTACTCCAGATTGGATACCGGTTACCCAGCGGTGGCCATGCAGATGCCCCACGTAACCACCAGGTGACACTCTCTCATTACACAATTATGGCAACTGACGTCGATGAGTTGGCTCGTTGCCACTCATGATGCCGTTCTAGTACATTAACCCAGGACGGTATGCATCCGGTAATCCATTTGGTGCTGTAATTGAAGGGCCATTTCACGAAACGTCGCCTATTATTCAGCTCTCAAAGCCAAGCGTCTTGACCCAACTGCGTCGAGTCTTATTCTTGATTCTTTCGGTAAAGTCACGTAGAAGGGAAATAATTAAATAAAAAATACATACAAAATTCTCACGACGTTTCGACTGCAACACAAGCAATCATCAGGTGTGAAATCCACAGCAAGAAAATTTGAAAAAAATTCTAATTTTCTTGCTGTGGATTTCACAAATTAGAATTTTTTTTCAAATTATCTTGCTGTGGATTTCACAAATTAGAATTTTTTTCAAATTTTCTTGCTGTGAATTTCACAAATTCAAATTTTTAAAAAAATGTTCTTGCTGTGGATTTCACAAATTTGAATTTTTTTCTAATTTTCTTGCTGTGGATTTCACATCTGATGATTATTGTTTGTGTTGCAGTCGAAACGTCGTGAGAATTTTTGATTGTTTTATATTTTTATTATTTATTTTTTCCCTTCTACGTGACTTTACCGAAAGAACCAAGAATAAGAATCCCTGCAGTCACGAAAGCTTCAAATCAAAATTTAGCGTCGAGTTTGTTGATTTTGACGAAGGAATCGCTTCGGTTAATAATTCTCGGATCGACTTCTCTTCCGGAATCGAGCTCTTCGTGAATCGGTAGGGAGTCGAGGATTCGAGTTTTGCGAATCGATTTATAACGAATCGGAATCGGTGCGCGGTGATGGTGGTGGGGTAGATTGTTGTTGTTGTTGCTGCTGCAGTCTCCGTCGTCGCCGAGACCTCGCGGTTTCTGTCGGGTTTCGACCACGGGGGAATCTTCGTGCTTCTTCTTGGAGCAAAGCGTCTCGATGGAGGAGTCGCCGCGGCTGGAATTGCTGCGATTCTCTCTGCCCTCGGAGCGCAGCAAATCGGTGCGGGTACGCGGAGTACCTCGTGTATCGGTGAGTTCAAGTTTAACACGATTATAGTTTAACTAACCTCGTCACCGCATTACAATTCAACTCGCTTACAACTCACCTCGTCACTACCACACTCGTTCACGACTCGCCACTGCACACTCCGATTGTTGCTCCTGCTGTTGTGGAGTGACTCATGCAGTCAGCTATTATGGCTGCAGGGTTTTGGTAGTACATGTTGTTTATGCCATTTATTGTGAAAATTCCGTCACAATTCCTATGATTGCTTTTTCATTGCTTTCATGGCTTTATTTTGGTGATTTCGAAAAGTGTATTGGTTTAGCCATGTTTGTTTGTTGTAGTACAGAGTGAGAATTATTTTATTATTTTATTATTTCCATTCTACGTGACTTTACCGAAAGAACCAAGAAGATGAATCTCTGCAGTCACGAAAGCTTTAAATCGAAATTTAATCTAAGTTGCCTTGTGTTTGGTGTTGTTGTTTGACTTGCATCCCACTGGGATTTTTGCACACAGCGTTGGTGTACGGTGTTTATTTCTGCAATATTTTGCTGTCTTTTCTTGGATGTTCTGTTTGCACTTAGTCACATATTCACTTTAAGATGTTTTTTGTTCATGTTTTTGTTTGTTGCGGTTGCACCCGATTCAAGAGCCGAATAGCTCACAGGGCTATACCTAATAAATGAACTTGAACTAGTTACAAGTCAACTTCGTGGCGACATAATTGTCGCACTCTTGACCCCGGTTGACCTCTCTTCAAACTCATCGCCTTTGCAACTTGACCTCCTTAGCCTCATCATCATCGCTCCTCGCCTCTTCGTTACAGCGGCTCTCGATGAAGAGCTCTGGAGTTGCTGCTTTAAAGCGTGGGGGCGAATCATCTGGCCGTGTTGGGTTTGAACATTGTGGGTTTGAACATTGTGGGTTTGAACATTGTGGGTTTGAACATTGTGGGTTTAAACATTCTGGGTTTCAGATGTGGTTTTGCGTGATCCGTAGTGGTGTTGTGCACTTGCCAGTATTACGGTATTGACCATGAAAGTTGTGTGTGACAGGGCCTGTGGTTTTGATCTTGGGATTGTAAAGTTTAAACAGCTCAATTGCCATTACATTTTGTTTCCATTGCGATCAGATACAATCTTTTCCCTCACAGCGAGCTCTGTGCACGACTCTGGGTCTCAATTAACTAATGTCCTATGCTTGATCAAGTTAGAACCCTTAGGTTTCTCTTGGAAATACAACAATCGATCCCAAATACCCTTTTTAGTTGCATGGGAAAGTTGCAAATTTTACAACTTAATTTCCAAGTAGGTTTTACCTTTCAGATCTGACCATACTTCTTGCTGGTCTAGTTGCTGAAGTTGAGGTGGTGATTAGGGGTGACGCCCAGGACCGATTCAGATATCACTCGCCAAGGATCTTAGCTGTGACTAGGAATTGAATTCTGGTCACCAGGTTCAAATATCACCACTGCTCCATTCCATTCAAACATCACGGGTAATTTCACATGCTCTCATCACCCACGCATGTACACATTTTACACATGGTAGTCATGAATGTTAACACTAGCGGAGCCAGGGGGGGTTGCATGTGCCCCCCCCCCCCCCCCCATGATCCGATCGAAATCCCTAATTTCGGATCATTGGGGTTTATTCGTAATAAATCGGCATTTTGCGACCCCCACTGCCATTGTGTAACATATTATGTGCCAGGGACTCTATGAGATGATAGGACAATAGTCTGAGTCCATAATTGGCAATAAGTAACGGCAAAGCAGTTATAAGCCACTCAGAATTGTGCGCAGTTGTGTATACAGTACACGACTTCCCTGAAGGCATCCACCTTCAGCGAGCGCGATGCCGATCACACACGGCTCGAATTCGACCCTCAATCGATGGCTGCGCCATCGCCGCACACGCGTCTAATAAAACGCAAGGGACAAATCCTTACTTACTAACAACTCCGATAATTTTTCATTGCTGGAGGGGTTGCCCCCCCTATCTGAAATTCCTGGCTCCGCCATTGAATGTTAAGTGGTATATTTATACCATTGGAACCTCCTTTGCCAGTAGCAAAATATGATAATTGGTTTTTTACCCTTAAATCTGACAAAACTAACACCTTTTTTTACAAGGAGTCATGTTTGCATTGACTACAATACTTGCGGTCGGAATGCGTTCTGACCGCAGGTATATTTATGTCTGAGAGTCTTTAACATTATTTTTTCCTGTAGATGGCAAACTTTGGTAAATCTCTGCAGAAACCTTTGGGCAGCAGCGGGAATCTCACCATCAACGCCATGTTTATTGACCTGGTAGGAAGCGCACCACCATGGTCCTCCGTTATGAATGCTTGCTATTGCGTTTGCTTGCGAGCATGCGTGTGGGTAAAGGGTGAGGAGCAACGCTCACAATAACGAGCAGAGCGGGGCGGCTAAAACACAGCACAGGGGAGTGCAGATGGTGCTTCTGCCAGTCAATTCGGTCACTAGGGTCTGTCCCGTGAACGTCCCCCTACCAACGAACCTTTAAAACTTCACGTGACCTCAAAGTGCACTGCAGCCCAAGCAACGTGATCATGTAACAACTGCCACTCGGTGGAAAATAAAAACTCATTGCATGTGTGTCTTGCCTGCCACTGACCATGCCTGCGTACTACAGACGGAGCTCCATGACCTGTTTTCGACGGTGGGGCCCATCTTCTCGTTGCGCCTGACGGACTCGGGTGAGCGGGACGGGTGCCAGCAGGCGTTTGTGCGGTTCTACTCGTTCCGTGATGCCGCCCGCGCAGCCCGCGTGCTCCACCGCAGACCCTTCGCTGGCAGCATCCTGCGGGTGCGGGTTGGGACCGATGCCACTCTCCAATTGTTAGCCCCTTTGTCCGTGAAAAAAAAATCTACCGATTTATTCCTTTGTTTGCTGAAATATTTTTTCACGTGTAACAAATTACGTGTTTGCAGTGGGTTATAAGTTTGAGAGATAACATATTTAAGCCACATTTTTTTACGTGAATGGTTTGTGTAAAATTTTGCATTAAAGAAGACCAAACTATATCTGGGAGACTTGCAATTAACTGACTGATAATTGTAATCGGTTGATTTCTTGCGGTTGATTTCTTGCATGCATTTAAAATTGGCGGACATCCTTCCCAAGGCAGAAAACCCCCTACTCTACTAACCTTACCCAGCGTGATTCGGACGATGCTGATGATAACACCAAAAACTGCCACTTAGCTCCGGTCAAACTTTCATTGTGTTTCATGGGTGTCCTTTAAAAACTATATAACCATACACATTTCATTATCCACAAAGTACGCTTTTCTTAACAGATAGACTTATTAAGTAGATGAACAAAAATATGCCCTTCATTATGTGGCCATCCCTGGAGAGATGATACAGTAAAAACTATCAAGAGTGGATTGTGAAGTGTACCATTGAAGTTAGCATGGTTATCCACAATGTGTAAACCTTCAGTTCCTAAAAAAATAGTTCCGTAAAAGACACGCGGGCATCTCGCATCTCTTTTTTTTAAGAGCGTGGCCACGGGGTGTTACTGGACATCTGTGAAAAATAACTTTATAGCTCATCGGATTCCTCCAGTATAAAAATAAATATTCTGTGTTGCTTGTTGCCCAGTGCTGGTCTTCTGTGCTCCACAGGTGCAACAGTGTGTCGACCGCGCCGGGGATGTGCTGCGGGAGCTGCCACTCAGTCGCCAGTACTGCTGCAACCTCGCCAACTACTACTTTGGCTTCAACGGCTGGTCCAACAGCATCCTTGGGGTAGGCACACTGCTCCCCCCTGTGCACACGGCTCCCTACGGTGCACGGGACAGATATAGCCCACGACTCAATAGTAGGCCACATGAGGCCTACTACTTTGAAATGGCCTGCAAAGGATATTTATCAATAGCTGCAAGCATTCTATTTTATTCTATTTCAGATTTATATAGCCCCCTTTCCAGGGCACTTTACAATGCAAGCATGTTAACCATGCTATATGCATGCAGCGATTGCATGTGGGTACAAAAATACAACTCAAGTTGTCTTGAGCCATTTAGCAGCATCTGAGTCAGTAGTGTTCTGTTTGAGAAAACCTCCAGCATGATTGCACGATTGGCCACACTCATCGGGTAATAGGTCATCCATTTAGTACGTACGCAAAAATCTGTCAACTTGACCCCACTCCCTATACGCACACGTATTTTTTACACCCCACCTCCCCCCCGCCACATGCGTACATACGCTTGACATACCCCCCCCCCCCCCGAATCCTATAGAATGGCCGATATTTAATCCACGCAGAAACGATCAAGGATTAATAATATTAACGTGTTTAAGGAAACAGTCCACCACCAGCTGCATTAAATCATGAAGTTGCGTGCCTTGGCCACTTATTTTGCTGCGCTGCGTGATAGCTGCAGTCAGGGGCACGGTGGCACACAAGTGACACTTTTCCCACAGTCCCACTTCTCCCGGTAGTACTTGTTGTCTGGCAACTGAAGAAACTGAACTGTGGCTCATTTGAAGGCCAATGTAGACAAATTATTATCGAGCCTTCACCCCCCCCCCCCCCCCCCCGTTTCCTGTGTGTGCATACATTGTCAGTAGACCCCCCCCCCATACGCAAGTGTACACGTTTGGGTTACCTCCCCCTCCATGCGTACGTACTAAATGGTTGGCCCCTAATGGAGTAGAATATTTTCGACCTGGCAACACGTTGTGTCCAATGTTAGCATGGGCATTCACTTCTGTAACTGCAAGGACCTCTTTCAGCGGCAGAAATAAGACTCGAAGAAAAGATTCCGGAAGTGGCACGTTTTCAAATAAAGTAGCTTATTCCAGATAACTAAATTGATTGCATGTAAATCATGCTTTAATTCTATGATTAAATGTATACGACATTAAATATATAGCAAGAATGATTATTTACAATGTCATATTTGTGATCAATCTCAAAAATGGACTGACATGCAACCATGTAAAAAATACAAAAAGCCTCTTTTGCCCCCCGAGGTGTGTGTGGTGTGTTAATATTTGGGGAGCGGTGGTGTCATCGTTCGCGTGCTGCACTACGAAGCTGGTGAACCAAGTTGTATTCTCGCTCTCGGCCAAAACTAGTGATGATCATCTTAACCAGTTCTGGCCATCTCCTAGGTCGACTCGGCCTCAAATGAGTACCTGGTGTGATGTGCACACAGCATCACTAGGGAGACAAAAGCGGCCAGATATGGTGCTGGCCACCCACCCCCTCGTGTGCCATGCCTGCCTTCATAGGTGCTCGCTGACAGCACTTGTCCTTACGGTCTGTTCAGGTTATACAGGGGATTTTTGTTAATGTTTGGGTGCCCCTCGAAAGGAATTTGACGGTGCCATTCTTGCAGAACTCGGTGAGCAGAGGAGCGGCTGGGAACACGCTAGTGAGAGGTGATGCCACGGAGCCTGCCCTCACCGTGAGGGCCGTGTGTGCCGTGGAGGTGCTTGTGCCCGCGTTCGAGATTGCAGCGCGCGGGTTCGGGGAGGACGAGGAGGTGGTGCAGAACCAAGGTGTGTCCCACTTGGCGGCAAGGCCTGTGCAGCGCTCGTACCGTCTCGTCTGAACAAATTGCAAGAGGCAAAGCATGGACACGAACAGAATCAGAATCTTTATTTATACCTGAAGAATCTGACGAGCTCTAAAGCTCTTTTTCACAGATTTTGAGCGGGGGCAGGTCAGAACGTTACAACAACAAACAATACAAGAAGAGGATAGGAGTGCAAAGTAGAGGAAAGGTAAACTAATCACTTAAAAAATAAATACAAATAAAAATAAAACATTTTTATTTTACCAGGTAAAGCCCACAGAGCTATTAGGGCCTTTTCAGAAGTGACCTGGCCACAAATGATAGCTCAACAAAGTGGCTTATCATGTGGAAATGTATCCATTTGAGAAAAACATTTAATCATAAGCCATAATCCATTCCTGAAGGCTTCCCCAAGCCGCTTCTCATAGTCCTGCGATGTAACACCTAACCACCTGCACACAAGCTGATTTCATTGCTCCATCTACCCGATATACATGCTGTGGTGCAAACTCCCACCCATGGTTGCTTCTCCCATCATTATCCTTGACCATCGACCGTACGTTTTCATTTAGCAGAAATGTATATGCTATTGTGGCACAACTTCCAATTCCCAATTTGGTGGTGTATTTTACACAGCACTATGTGCATTGAGTAGCAGCTGATCGGTGAGGGAGGTTTTTAACCCTTTTACGTTCCTATGACGTACGTGTACATCATCGGTTTTACTTTAGATTCCATTCTGTTGACGTACACGTATGTCATTGGAACGGAATTGGAAGTTAAAGGCCATGCAAAAGGGTGTGGCACAGTTTGGTGCTAGTTATCGTAGATTGTGGTCGTGCCACTACAGATTCAGACTATTTATTGATACTGGAGGAATCCGATGAGCTATGGAGGTCTTTCACATTGCGCCGCTGTCTTTAAAAACAGCGGCGCTATGCCACTTTAAATAAAATTAACGATAACCGCTTGCGCGTTCTGAAATTCAACGGTCAATGGGACCCACACCAGCAACTTGCAGACATCTCGGAACGTGAAAGGGTTAATTGGGTGCATGTGTTAATGCGTGATTTTTTTTCAGCGATGGAGCGGACAAAGTTAGCAAAAATGAAGAAGATGGCAATGGACAAAGCCCTCTCTAACGCCTTCAGCAAGATCATCATTCTGCTGCCAGGTATTGACCACAAGATTGGATCTTTAATTTAAAGCCACGCACCTCTGATAAGCATGGTTGGCTATGTACGGTGTGAAGGAAGTTCCAACATACCGTACATACGTACATACATGCAGATGATTTGGAAAGTCCACAAATTCTTACCGTTATTTGTGAATCGCTGGAGATTTCCGGGCGTGGTTGTAAATCAACTTAACCATGAAGGCCGTGATTGTGTTTCTGGGTTGGCACAGGAAGGTCGCTGTGCTGCCGTTATGCAGCTCGCGTTGTTCCTGTGCACTACGATTTGAATAACGCCGCGAAAGAGAAAGTGCTAACAGAAATAATTTTGACGCTGGCAGGACACGGCAATGTGCCCTCATTTTACCCAACACGTGCGACCTGTCGATAGACGAGTAATAGAGGTCATGTATTAAAATATGATCACCAATTTAGGAAAAGAGTAAATAATTTCAAATATATTGAATTGTTAGCGAAGTAATATGAATGGACGAAGGCTGTATTGTACCTTTTGATATGGATGGACCCTTAAAGGTCAGAGAATACCTATGAAATTACCTCCAGGTTATTTGCATTGTGACGTAGATGTCTATGGTTCACTCCGACATGATCACTTAAACTGCGCAGAAGGTGAAACATTACTTATACTTCATCTGCGTGTGCATGTGTACTTCCGCCAGAAACTGGTCCGGTTGCAGCATTCTTGGATTCACGGGTTGATAATTGTGATGACCTCACTGCCGACCAAGAGCTGGTAAGAGCTACTTGCTTGCCTGTGAGAGTGGAAATTTGCGGTCACTGACTGCAGATGGTTTGGACCTCCTCCTGTCTTGCAAACATCCTATTACCATATCTGTTTAAAGTTGGCAATAGGTAAAGGTACAGCCCTGCAATTACCTATTCAAGCAACTGCTGGTGGACGGGCCTCCGCTAGATGGAGCTCTCGAGCCTCCCTAGTCTGTAATTGGCCTACTCTTCCACGCTGGCTAGACATATTGAAAGAGGTGGGAGTACCCCACACTTTACACCATCACACGCGAGCTGTCCATCGCTTATACGTGATGTACCCATTTAATTCTTCTGTTATGTGGACATGTATGTGTATGCATGTGTAGTGTCGTAGGTCTCTTCTTCTCTCCCCCGAGACGTGTGTGTGTGTGTGCGGGTGGCGTGCGGCACACACACTCAGTCGGAGACGAGGTAGTCGCAGGAGGCACTGTCTCTCTTTAATTATGTTCACGCCACCAACTCCGGCCCCCTCTCTCACGACCACACTGCTGCCGTACGGCCCGGCCCAGACACGACCATGTCCGCGTTGCACCGACGGCGTCGACCGAGACGGCCAACTACTGTCCGGCCGCGCAATGATCAGGCGAAGGCGGCAGTGACGAAGGCGGTGACGACGACAGCGACAAAGAGACGAGTCCACTCCCAGAACCGGCAGCCCGTGGCTCTCGCTCTCCGCTGCTTTTATTCCCCTCGGCACGGCTTGGCTCCGCCCTAGCCGCGCTTCCCTTCTCGAACCCACCCGAGGGTTCCAGGGGCCTCTCTCCGAGGTCTACCGTGACCCTTGCCCCAGTTCCTCCGCCCTGCCGGCACACTCGTTTATATGCTCAAGGGCGTGTGCGCTATATGTCCACCTCTAGTTGCTGCTGCTGTACAGCAGTCGGCGCTGTATCACTACATGTATGATGAACTTCTTTCACACACCATACGTAGCCAACCGTGTTAATCCGAGGTGGTGGGGGGGGGGGTGAAATTTGAAGAAACGTGCACCATTGTTTCAACTGCCGCTCTGGGAGATTGAACTGGCGAGATGGATTGCAAGTCCCGTGTGCTAACACATTACACCACGGCAGCAATATTGCACCAAATCAAGACCACTAGAATTTGAGCTGCACACAATACTTCACTGTTTTACATGTATCGGTCTTAATACATGATCGGTCTTAACACGTGTTCAAAATAGGTTCACTGTAGTTTTTACAAGCCGCTTGCTATATTTGCACAAAGCTTTTGAAATGTACTGTTCTTGACATGCCAGTTGTGTATTATCACACTTTGCTCACACTGCTGCCGAAATAGTTTCAATTGGACATAAATCATTCAATGACACATGAACTAATGTCAAATATTTTATTTTCCGTACGTATGTGGAAACCAATTGATATCTGTTTTCAAACACACCCTGCCACATTGACACTTATCCGTCGGCATTTCATGAACAACAGGACACTTGAACTATGTGCACACGGTGGCTACTTGTAGCAGCATAGCTGGTGCCACCAAATCGCATACTAAATTAAGTTCCACAGAAAATGAAAAATAAAATCTAAAGCTACATTAAATTTTGGATGCGTAGACATGTCTTCACATTCCACAGAAAACATTCTCAACCTGTGTAAAGTTGCTGAAGCAGTAACAATTTTTCACTCGTATCTCATATATATGTATTCAGGCATGTAGCTAACAGTACATATAGGAATGTGATGTGTATCGGCTTAATTAAAGGACCTTGTTATTTTGTGTAAGCTTCCATTTCTACCCTACGACATTCACCGCCCCTTCCTCCACGTATCGCCAACACTGTCTTAACTGATGCATGGTACAACTTTGCTTATCCGACTTGGTAGGTATGAAGCTACAGTCAGATCGGATATGAAAATGCCTCGTACACAAGATTAAGAACACTTAATTATATAAGATCAGATTTGTGAACATCTATAGGAAATAGCAGTCACACCACGCACAAATATTGCACTGGGTGTGGGCTGTTAATTGGTCAGGGCGGATACATGATGGTCGGATAGGCGGCCTTGTATTGTGTTTTAATTTTAACCCTTTCAACAAATGAACCCTTCCTAGGAGCTCCTGTGATGAAGTTTGACAAGCCCCATGTGTTCTGGAGGGAAGGAGGTGCGGCGTGCAAGCCTGCCTGCTTGACACCGCTGAGTTCGACTCCCCCCCCCCCCCCCCCAAACTGCCCGAGCACCACGACCGTCCCAAGTCACTTGAGCGAGGATGGCTCTCGGCTTGACACCACGTCCAGGATATGGGCGGAATTTTCACGAGCACGGGCGAGCAGCCGCTCCATCTTCTCTCTCACCTGTGGGGAGAGAAAGGAAGCACACGTTCGTGCACAGGATCACGCTTGCTCAGCGGATACGAACGTTTGCGGCGTGCGTTGGTGTTACTTTTCTGACGTCGTGAACCTCTGTGGGATGGCTGGGAATGTCACTGTGCCTTGGCAGAAAATTACAAAAAAAAATCCTCCTACAGTAATTTATATATTTTTTATTCTTTCCGGCTTAGCTTGAAGCGTTGTTTGCACGAGCTGTCTGTCTATCCATCCATAATGGGGGGGGGGGCACTATGATGCGTCAAAACATGAACCTGTAGATTAAAGTTATGTTGCTGTTAGCGATTTACCATTTTGAAAACCAGATTGGTCAAAGAGTAACCAGGGAAAAAACAACTTGTAAATATGCAAATGGATTTTGACCCTGACAGGTACCCACGATCGGCTTCTGTACGGCTAATAAAAACTATTGAAGACAAACACTCGTTGTAAAGCTGTACATAATCCACGCATTTCCGTGATTTTTCAGAACATGTTAATGTTTGATCACGTTCCCCATTTTAATCGGTAAAAAGAGTATACAAATTGAAGGGCTTTTGCTTTGCTCGTCCAGATTGTGTCCAAATAAAACGGCAGCACTTTTTAGTGTCAATTTATAACCGAGTAAATATTTTACATATATATTAAATAATTGCATTAAGTTAGTCCTCAGCAGAATGGATCGCATTTATGCAACTTCAGTTGAAAGGCAACTCAACAGTATTGGATGATAGTTTAAAGAGTGGAAGATCGAAACTTACATTTTCTAAATATTTGTATCTTTCAGACTTCAGACTGCTCATTTAGTAAGAATAATGTATACAGGTTTTGTTATATCTTGCGTCTTGTACAAAACGTTTCATTTTTTTTACTGAACCTGTTTCGAATAAACGAAAAATATGCATTTTCCTTCCTGAATCCAGGTGTTTTTTTTTGCTCTATCTAAAAAGCTGCTTTCTTTTTGCCTCCTTCAGACACTTCAATTTGTGTGCCCGGAGAGCACACCGAGGTTGTGTTTCCACTGAACTTAACGAACCCTTCAGTAAAACCGTAGCACGGCCGCGAATCAGGGGGGGGGGGGGGGGGTTTGACCCTAGTGCCTGAGCCACAACCTTTGTCTTAAAGGACTCGCTGTGGATGTCGGGGAGGTTGATGAGCACGTTGTAGTAGGCACCCTCCACGCCCAGCTCCAGCGCCTTGACCCCCACCTGTGTCACGCAAACTCCAGTCATCCTCGCAGTGGCTTTTAGCTGGCCATCGAACAAAGACGGTCAACGCATTGTGCCATTTTCAGATGCTCTTCTGCGGCCGTCTGGAACACACCCTTCCGATATTAGGAAACCACTGGAGCTATGCACTTTTAAATCTAGATTTCTTTTAAAGTGCTTTTTGTGTTTAGTTTGTCCTTTCCCCGCACCTCCGATTAGCACGGTTGGCTACATACAGTGCAAAGTAAGTTCAACGTAGATTCACCTGGAGGGGACCACCGACACGATATATCAGTACCCCTCAACTCGCCCCTCTGGTTATTGTTACTCTGCAACACCCTCTTCCTGAAACCAGGATTTCTTGCTCGTCTATTTTTTTAGAAGCACAACACCCTCAAGACCGATTCACTGGCACAGGTTTGGGGTAGTCATTAACGGCAATAATTGTTGCACTGTTTTCTCCAGTAAATGATTTAGTATCCCAAATGTCAGCAACTGGGAGGGCAACTTTCAATTAGATCACTACGGGAGGTATCAATGACTGCCCTGAAGTTGTGTAGTCTGTTGATCATACAGATAGGAACAATATGTTCCACACTGCCCACCAGGGATTATTTGTCTGTCTGAACGTCTGTCGTGCATAAATATATATAATATAAACAGCTCTTTGATTGGTGGAGACCTACTGCCGGGTAGGGAAAGGGGAGGTGCCTAAGGGAGGGGGGGTCAGCGGAGGGGCCTGAGGGAGGGTGGTCAGGGGAGGTGCCTAAGGGAGGGGGGGTAAGGGGGGGGGCCTAAGCAAGGGGGAGGGGCCGATAGTTAAGGGGGCTGGCTACCTGGCTGGCTGCCTGGCTACCTCAAGTCCAGTTATCTTTTATACAGTTAGGAACAACAAGTTCCACACTGCCCACCAGGGTTTATTTGTCTGTCGTGCATATTTGTCTGTCGTGCACGAATGCACTTTCCAACCAAGTTCCTACGTGCCCACTCTGAAGGAACGTGTTTATTAGTAAAATGCATGTTCAACAAACTTTATGATTAGGTAGAATTCAGTCACTGGCTTAACTTGCCAAGTGGCGTAAATCGTTCATTTTTTGTTATGACACCACAATCGTGTTACCCGTCTACCACTGGGGCGACGGGTTGCATAACACACTTGTGAATTGAGAGACCTGCATCGTGATATCTGAACCGAGTTTGGGTGCTCCCCCCATCAGTGCGGTATGGAGAAGAAGGAGCGGCTGGGTTTCCCAGGACTAGTTCAGATGTTATCGTGAAATATGGCCAAACAAAGAGCTGTACATTCGCATGAATTATTATCCATCTGATCGTGGTCTGCATCGTGCCGTCAAGAGCTGCGTGCCTGCACGTCGGATCTGCAGGCGTAGTTGCCGTGTGCCGCCAGCTCCAGCATGAAAGGCCACGTGCCGTCGACGCGCTCCGCCACGGACAGCGGCACCGCCACCGCCTCGGCCAGCGCTGCCTGCACCTCCTCGTTCCGCCTGCACGCTGCCCGGCACGCGCCGGCCGCTCTGAGCAATCGCATCGCTGCTGTCACTCGGCTCGGGCTATCGCATTTCTGGGAGACTCAACTCGTGGAACTGGCAGCCCCTCCGTACGGCAGCCTCACTCACTTTTGCACTCGTCATGTCAAGGTTGACCGACGTAACCATTTGGCCACTGGTGAAAGTCAAGATTTGCTTGTTTAACCAGGCGAGTACTCGGGTGTCCAGGGTAGTCTCATTTACAAGAGTGGCCTGCAGTGCTGCCCACAGCAGGTGGCCTCACTGACATTGTGGCCCCATTTGCTTGCGCACATGCTCCACTTACTGCAGAGACCCCACCAACTACTCGGATAACCCATCTGCCCGTTTCGCATCGGGCTGCCACCTTCTCCACAGACCAAACCTGGACATGTTTCCCCGTCAGCCTCGGTGACCTCCGATTTGCATGGTTGGCTATGTACGAAATAAGTTCACACAAATAACAATATCCCGGTACAATTCAAATTCTTACTACCTAAACGCAGATGCCAATTCCCAAACTGTTGGGGGCAAACCGAACCTGGTTGTATCCAGGAGGCCAGAGAATGTTAAATTGAGGAAAGTCGCGATATTCAAAAGCTTTGGAGCACCAGAACAGCCTTGCTGAAACTAGGATTGCACCGGCATGGCTTGAATAAATCACTGGAAATTACTTGTTATGAAATTGGAAATGTTAAAAGAAATTCACAACTTGCAATTACAAAACTCTTCCCCCCCCTCTCCCCCCCCCCTATTCTGCAAGGATTCATAATCTTGGTTCTTTCAGCAAAGTCACGTAGAAGGGAAATAATAAAATAATAACAATTTATTTATTATTTCCCTTCTACGTGACTTTACCGAAAGAACCAAGAATACGAATCCCTGCAGTCACGAAAGCTTTAATTCAAAATCTCCCCCCCGTTGTACAATGATATTTAATGCAGTCAAGAAATGTGCTGCTCAAACTTGTGCGTGTAGTCCAAGGGCCAGGGCAGAAATTTGTGCCAGCTAAAGTGAGAACTTTGTTAGCACAGAAATATTTATTTGGCAAATAACTGAGTTACGTGACAACCCAGTCATTTAAAATGGTTATCACAAACCACTTATTGGCCACGTAAAGTGATTGTAACCACAAGTTGTGTATGTTGAACTTCTTGAGCACCGTACGTAGCCAGCCGTGCTAAATCGGAAGTGTGATTATGTCACCACCATGGGGTACCGATAAATTAAATATCTGGTCTGGGCTCGTGGATTACAGAGCACAGAGAAGAGGCAAACAAGACGGCTCTTGAGAGGGCAGGGCAGGTGTGGAGGGGTGAGAGGAGTGAGAGGGGAGAGTTAGCCCGTCTCACCGTTCGCGCTCCTTCTCCGTGCCCCGGGGTAACTTGAGAGCTGCCTAAACGCCATGTCGAACACACACACACACACATCATCGACGTCGTCAGCCAAGATCAATCAATTGGTGTATGAAAGCCTCTCCAAGCGAGCAGGCAATAATCCAAGCTCAGTGAAAACCGAAATGCTATTTTGTGTTTGAGTGAATTCAGTCGTTGGTGACCAGGCTGAGCCTTCGGTTAGATTTAGAACCCGGTTGAATAATGGGCAGCTGAAGCCTGGATTGGAATTCAGTAGATAAGCAGGTGAGGGAGGTGGGAGCGGGGTGGGTGATGGAGGTGGGGGGGTGAGGGAGACGTGGGTGGGGGGGTGACGGGTGGGGGGGGAGACGGGTGGGGGGTGAGGGAGACGTGGGTGGGGGGGTGACGGGTGGGGAGACAGGTGGGGGGGGTGAGGGAGACGGGTGGGGGGGGAGACGGGTGGGGGGGTGAGGGATGGAGACGGGGGGCGGGGTGAGGGGGGGAGACGGGTGGGGGGGTGAGGGAGAGAGACGGGGGGGAGGGAGACGGGTGGGGGGGGGGAGACGGGTGGGGGGGTGAGGGATGGAGACGGGGGGCGGGGTGAGGGGGGGAGACGGGTGGGGGGGGTGAGGGAGAGAGACGGGGGGGGAGGGAGACGGGTGGGGGGGGGGAGACGGGTGTGGGGGTGAGGGAGGGAGACGGGTGGGGGGGAGACGGGTGGGGGGGGTGAGACGGGTGGGGGGGTGAGGGGGGGAGACGGGTTGGGGGGAGATGGGTGGGGGGGGTGAGACGGGTGGGGGGGTGAGGGAGAGAGACGGGTGGGGGGGAGATGGGTGGGGGGGGGTGAGACGGGTGGGGGGGGTGAGGGAGAGAGACGGGTGGGGGGGTGAGGGAGAGAGACGGGTGGGGGGGGAGATGGGTGGGGGGGGTGAGACGGGTGGGGGGGTGAGGGAGAGAGACGGGTGGGGGGGTGAGGGAGAGAGACGGGTGGGGGGGGGGAGACGGGTGAGGGAGGGAGACGGAGGGGGGTGAGGGGGGGAGACGGGTGGGGGGGTGAGGGGGGGAGACGGGTGGGGGGAGACGGGTGGGGGGGTGAGGGAGATGGGTGGGGGGGGGGTGAGACGGGTGGGGGGGTGGGGGGGTGAGACGGTGAGACGGGTGGGGGGTGAGACGGGTTGGGGGGTGAGACGGGTTGGGGGGTGAGGGAGGGAGAGAGACGGGTGGGGGGGGGGGATGACGTCACCATGTAGCGGTTAAAGGCGCAGGCGTCAGCGTCCACGGCAAGGGAGAGGAGTCCCATGGCGTCGTGCAGAGGAGCCGTAGCTCGTCGCACCACCTCGTCCACCTCCTCGAACTGCCGCTTTCCGTACGTCATGAGCCCCACCATGGAGCCCAGCGCCGCGCCCTGCACACCGGCGGTAATTGATTCGGCATCTTTTAAAATGCGTTTTTATCTTCAGTCTACGCCCGACTGCTGACGAGACACCATTGGAACCTCCTTTGCCAGTAAGCAAAATATGATAATTGTTTTTTTTACCCTTTTATCTACGCAACAAAACTGTCAGTTTTGCTGTCAGTTTTGTTGCCAAATAAAAGGGTAAAAAAAACAATGATCATATTTTGCTACTGGCAAATGAGGTTTCCAATGGTGTAAATGCTTACCCCGAGCTCTCATACTCTGATGGTGCATTGTCTTTGAGTTGTGCGCCTTTTGGCGTCATCTGGTCCAACCCATGTGAGACTAGGCTCTAAGGAAAGCTGTCTCGGGTGTGGACCAATCAACTTCAAGGACAGTGCACATCAGAGTTATGTTTTTAGTTTGCATTATGACTGCAGGTATTGTGGTCTATGCAAACATGACTCCTTGTAAAAAAGGTGTCAGTTTTGTTGCCAGATAAAAGGGTAAAAAACTAATTATCATATTTTGCTACTGGCAAAGGAGGTTCCAATGGTATAAATATACTACTTAACATTCAATGGCGGAGCCAGGATTTTAAGGTAGGGGGGGGCAACCCCTCCAGCAATGAAAACTTATCGGAGTTGTTAGTAAGTAAGGACTTGTCCCTTGCTTTTTGTTGCTGACGAGACGTCGAATGTTGAAACCGGACCAGAGTTTGCTGATGAATTCAATGATGCTGAAAATTATCACTAGTTAAGTCGAAGACCACCTGTGCAATCTAGATTTGAAGTTTTCGCGACTGCATGGATCCATACTCTTTGGTTTTTTCAGTAAAGTCACGTAGGTATAAAATAAAATAAATTAAATCACGACGTTTCGATTGCAACACAAGCAATCATGATGATTGCGTACCCCTATGCAACCCAAGACGAGGCTTAACCATTCCTTAGACTACACCACCAAACACCACACCATTGCACCCCACACACTCGCCACCACATAGCACCTCACCACACACCAGCATACACCCCGTATAACCTTTTAATAGACTGTTCGGGCAAGTACCGTTAGGTGGGTGGCCAACACCACGTCCGGCCGCCTTTGTCCCCCTCGTGGCGATCTTTACACACCATCAGGTACTCAATTAAGGCTGAGTCGACCTCAGGGAGGCTTATGACCAGTTCAGATAATCGTCACTGGTGTTGGTCGTGAAGCAGGAATCGAACAGCTCGCTAACCGCTGGAGGTATGGACTTTTACATCTAAACTGAAAACGAATTTCTTGAAAACTACTTTTTGTGTTGCGTTTGTTGTCCTTCCCCCGCACCTCCGTTTCGCACAGTTGGCTACGTACGGCGTGAAATAGGTTCAAGATACACACACCACCACACACTACCCAACTCCACAGCACACTACAAACCACACAGCACCACACAGTACCACCACCAGACAGCACCCCACACCATGGAAGCCACGGCCGCCGCCACGGAGCCGCCGCCCGGCGCGGGAGAGCGCGACCCGACGCTGCGGATGAACCGGTGCAGAGGCAGCGAGCACAGGGGACCACCCTCCAGCGCGCCCGTCATGTACCTGGGCCACACATACACACGTGTACACACGTGTGTGAGTGTGGACGTGTGTGTGTGTCCACGTGTACACACGTGTGAGTGTGTGCACACTAGCACGCACGTGAGAATGTCTGCGGTGGTGGTGGTGGTGGAAGCGGTTTTTGCGGCACCAACTCTATGATCCTCTCCTTGGGGTTGAACGGGGAGATTGAGTCCAGACCCAGTCGGTTCACGACCTGTGCCCCCATTGATCATTAATTCAGCAGTCAATCATGTAGAGCAATCAATCGATCAAGAAATCAGTAAAACGATCACGCAATCAGTAAAAGCACACAAATAATGTGTTTACTCGGTTTAATCCATGATAAACTGTCCAGTGACATTCCTCTATCAGTTCACCGTTTAACCTGGTGACTTGTCTAATTACATTTTTATGACTTTAGAAGGTCTATCACGTGACATTACCGACTTAGGTAGGTTGTGTGGCAACATTTTTCCTGCCTCAAATCTCAGGGAAAAATCTTTCGACTCAACAAAACCGATCTAGAAGTGAGATCTCGGATCGAGTTAGGACCTCCGACCTCACAACATGGGCCCCTCTAGGCCAGGGGTCGGCAACCAAAATAACACGAGACATTTTTTTGTCGAATTTGGTACAAAACTCAACATTTCAAGAACCGCAATGAACGCAAATACATACGTACGTACGTACATCAAGTCACGAAGCAGTCCTTAAAGGGCCTCATGCGGCTCAGGAGCCGCAGGCTGCCGACCCCCTGACTCAAGGGGTAAAAAAAAACCCGTGGCGTGTCCATCCCCATCGCGTTTCTCACCAGGCGGATCTTATTCTCCTCTTCGAGGACGAAGAGGTGGTCGCGCTTCATGTAGAAGGCGGCGGTGGTGAGCAGGGCCTGCAGGGGCACGAGACCCACCACCTGGGAGCCCACGGCCGCCACGCACAGCTCCTGCATTCCACACCGGCCGTCGCGGTTAGTTAACCCTTTCCCCTTCCGATGGCGTATGTGTACGTATGTGCACGTCGTCGGTTTTTCTCTTCTCCAATTCCGTCGTGGCAACGAAATCGGAGAAAAGAAAAACGAAAGTGAAAAATAACTTTATTGGTAGCGAGGCTCCCCACAAGGCCATGCGGGAGGGTTTGTGGCACAGTTCGGCGCCAGCTCACGTAGAGTGTGGTCGTGTAGCTGCAGGTCTCTGTGGTGACCACAATGCCTTTAGAAACAGCGATGCTATTTACGCTGAACCACTCGCACGTTCCGAGATTCAGCGGTGAACGGGACACCCATCATGCGACTCGCAGACGTCTCTAAACGGGAAAGGGTTAAGGCCGCTATAGTTCATGGAGGCTCATCCAGGACACATGGTGGTCCGTCAGCCCCGTCCACTTTCACACCGATCCGCCTATAGTGAGTGGTCCCGTTCCTTCTGAGGCTGATCTTGCCAACTACTCATAGGTAGTGTCGTAGTATCACCATCATCGGTGTTATGGCGTGGTCATCCATTTGGTGGTGATGGTACTGTCATGATGCTGTGGATGATAGTGGTGGTGATGGTCAAGGTTTTAATAAATTTAACAATACACAAAGGTGTGCTCACACACAGTAGGACTCCCATCACGCCTTGCACGCACGTCATGCAACTGCCACATTGCATGTACAATGCAGCTCTCAGCCTTGCCTCAACCATCAGCTCGTCTTTGCGTGTCGTTCAAAATCTACTTGTTTCTTTGCTCACCTTGGCATCTTTGCACACCTCCTCGTAGACCTCGTGCATGGGTGTCACCTCGTGGTCCAGGATGTTGGTAGACACCTGGGCCAGGTCTTGCTCCTCCAGGTACCACCCGATGGCCTGTACGCAGCGCAGACGCCCGGGCTGGGCATCCACGTGGGCCAACAGACGCACATCAACAACCGCCGGTCACCACGAGGTGGTTGTGGTGGTCGACCTTGACTCAGCATTTGTGCCAGGCTAGGAGCACTCTGATGCAATATGTCAATACATTTGTCATATCGCATTGGCAGTGGCTCACCGACAAAGTGAGCGTGGGACACTTCCTGGTATTTTGGCTAAGGAGGCATTTTACTGATCTTTTTTTTCCTCGTGGTTATCTCGCTGGGTGCAATTGGTGTCATGTGACGAATAATCCCTTCATAGCTCTCTCGCAGAGCAGCACATCCGCCCTTGTATCAAGAGAACGGCCCCAACAGAAGCGAAAATCACCGATACGCCTTTTGAGATCCCTTAAAGTCACCTGATCCACACAGGAGGAACAAGCATTTTCTTCCACACCCACTCTGCCACACGAGGGTGACATTCGTTGCGTGACAGTTCAAACCAAAGTTGTAATTCTCAGAGCTGGCCGCCCATATAGGGGCGCAACGGTGGTGAAACGTTAACTACCTCGGCTGGTATACAGGAGGTCATGGGTACGATCCCGACCCTAACTCGTACATTTTAAGTTTGCATGTTCTTCTCGTGGTCAAGTGGATTTTTCTCCTGGTTCTTCGGTTCTTCCCTCAGCATTTAGAATCACCATGCGTTTAGAATATTTGGCTGCTATACATTTACACACAATAAGCCACTTGGTTGAGCTATCGTCTGTGGCCAGAATACTTCTGAAAAAGAGCTATATAGCTTAGTGGGCCTTACCTGTTAAAAAGAAAAAAAATGTTTTTACGAGAGTAATGTTTGTCCCGTGACCAAAGTTTAAATTCTCAGAGCTGGCTGGGCAGCAGGGCTTTTTTGAGTTTGGTGGCCACCCCCCATGACCCGCTGCTGCTGCCCTCCCACCTGGCTGGGCCCCCGGCCCTGTTCTCGCAGGTTGAGCGCGATGCGGTGCGCCTGCTCCTTGGTGCCCAGAACGTTGATGTTGAATGCGACGAGGAACTTTCTGGTGCCGGCGACGGTCGCCCCCCACGATGGCACCAGCGTCGCGGGTCCATAGTCCGGTGCCCAGGCCGGGTCCTTCAGCTGCCGTGACGGTCGCCGCCACCACCACCACCGTCGTCGTCGTCGTCACCACAAAAGACAAAGATCCCCCGTATAGCCTTTAACAGACTGTTAGGGCACGTGCTGTTAGTGACCACCTAATGAAAGCTGGCATGGCACACGTGGGGTCGGTGGCCAGCACGACCACGCACACACACACATGCACAAACACGTGAACATACACGCATGCACACCGACAGCCATTGTGTTATTCCACTGCCAAATGAGGGCCTACCCACGCTGTGCTGTTTGTGGAGGTTATATATATTCTAAATTGTGCTTTACCACCTGCTGTTTGAGTTATTGTTTGAGAGGGATTTTCCAAACCAACAATAAAATTATGAATTTCACTGCAATTTGGTGCCGTTTAAAAAAAAAAAATCTAAACTACGAGCTGCTGCGGTGCTGGTGTTGAGGCCCGGGTCGTCAAGAGTGGGGGCATCGCCATGCGGGGACGTTCTCACCTTGTCTCCCAGCTTCTCGTACTCTCCAGCGCGGATGCTGGGAAGGGCCTTCCGATTGTCCTTTCTGGCTGCTTCTCCATACAAGTACACTGCCCCACGTGACGAGAAGACACCACCGTGGCATCAACATCACCATCATCAACGTTGATGCAACGTCATGGCATTCTACTTTATATCCATCCACCTTCACCACCCGCCCCCCCCCCCCAGATCTGTTCTATCACATGGGGGACACGCAATCCCGCACTCGCACCACCGGTTATTGCCTTATACGGTAAAGATTTTGCAGGAGGTGCGAACAAAATCAAACTGGCGACCCCCAGACGCTATCGGATTGCTCTCCAAACTCAACATACGCAGGTACAAACTCGTTATTTTCAAATGCCTAATCCCTTCCTCTTCCCTGCCCATTCGTGACCCCTACATGTCTTCTGTTAAGGTCACCCATTCCTCGGCCCTTGCACGCTCCCTGCCATCTAAATCACTCTATGTTTGTTACCACTTTTGAACTATAAATATGTATGTATGTTAAACTTTTTTTCCCACCATATGTAGCAACCATGCTAATAAGATAATATCTGCGAGAAGAAGCGTGGTGCGTGGTACAAACACCGATCACGCGCAAGCGAGCGGATGGGCGGACAGGCGGACAGACCGGGCACATGCAGCTCCTCGGCGAGCCGCTCCGAGAACTCCTCGGCGCAGCGTACGCACTCCGACACGGTGACGCCGCGCACCGGCACAAAGGGGCACACGTCCAGCGCGCCCAGCCGGGGGTGCTCGCCTGCCAGGCGAGAAGAGGCGGGCCACGATGCGGGCACAGGGTCACGGGGTTGGGCACTGTTAGCAGGCAGTAATTTGTGGCAGGGTTAGTGGGCAATGTTAGTAGGTTAGGGTTGCGGGCAGTTTGAGTGGCAACTGTCGATTACTTTTCTGCCGAGGCAAAAAGTAAAAATACGAACAAAAAACAGGTGCCAATAACAACGGGATGCCGGAGAACAATGCTGGATTCAGCCGGACAGCAGAGGATGGCAAATTATGGATGTGTAGCACAAGGCTCGCAGGCAGCCCGACTGCGACGCCAACTCCTTGGGATAATCGAAGGCAGAAGGGCAAGGGGAAGACAAGGATAGACGTGGCGATGGGATGATGACATCAAGGAGCGGAACTAGCTAAGCACGGGAATATCTCGAGAGCTTGTGCCAAGATTTTTTAATAAAACCCCGGCACATGTTGGCCGGTACTTGGACCAGCGTTCCCGGAGCATCGCCCCCCCTCCCCCTCCCACCTCCTCCCGTGCTCACCGCGGTGCCTCCGCATGTCGATCTTCTGGAACGCGACGCGGGCGGCATTGAGGGCCCCTTCCACGGCGGCGCCGGGTGGTGCCACGAAGGTATAGACGGTGCGGTGCGACGACTCCCCGGGGTCCACGTCCAGCAGCCGGCATCCCGGCGTGCGCCGGATGGCCTCGGCGATCGCCTCGATCACCTATGCACGGGCAGCCGGCGCACACGCACGCATGTTGCACGGACAGCCACGGGGATGCCTGGCCGGAGGTTTTTCAGACAGTGGCCTAGCTACCGAGGGTCCACGCCGTGCAGCTGCATCAGGCCCCATGGGCCGCAGAAGCCCATGTGCCCGGCTAAGAATCAAAATCTTAATTTTTTCAGAATCTTTATTTTGACTGGAAAAAAAAACCGATGAGCTATGAAGCTCTTTTTCACAGATGTCCAGATGTCTTGGTGCAGGTGCCCTGAGTACGCGTAACGTCCTGGGTGCAGACCCGTCAGTTTAGAGACATGAAGAGTAGGGTTTCCACACCCATACATGTTTCTGTCAGCCTAGATCGATCACACCTGTGAAGTAGACAATAAAATTGAACACAACAACCACCAGATCTCGTTATGAATCAATTCCTGCCACCCGAAGAGGGGGGCCCCAATTGTATTCCTTCTACCTGGGCCCATGCCACCCAAGCCATTCGCTACTGAGCTGGGCTGTGATTGCCACTCTCAGATAACCCTCCACGTGCTCCTGCCTGCTTGTCCAGAAAGGGCAGTGTGGTGTAAATGTTCTGGACAATAGCTACACAACAAGCAAGGGCGTGTTGCGTGCCACTCAGAGAGTGTGGAATGAACCATGCTCAACATCATCATCAACGTTGGCATGAATGTGATGCCAGAGCGTTGAACGAAGGTGAGCCTGCATGGACTTGCTGAGCAGACAAGAGCCACTGATATTTTTTACATTTGTTTCTTGCCTACTAAAACAAGAAAACTATTCTCTACCAACAACAATGCAGTTATATGCCGAGCTGTGGTCAAAACGTATATTTACGTCCGGGTTACACATTGATCGTCTGTTTAATGTGGGTGTCGGCCAACCAATGTTGCTGATTGGCGGTCTGCAATCATTTGAACATTGGAAAATCGGCAGCCGGGTCTGTGTGTGTGCCCCTTGTCAATGATTAGCAGAGCGTGGTGTTTGCGTGTAATCACCAGCCAGGCCAGACTGTGCTGGGTCAAGAGAGAATCTGCAATCCACTGCGAGTTTACCTTGAATTTATTTCTATGGAACTCTGTTAATGTTTCCTTTATCACCAACATTGTATTGTCATAGAATTAAATTACAGAGACCTACATCGCTAACAATTAACTTTCATGTAGTACTTAAAACAGCCTGAAGTAACCCAATAGCACTGTCGTACAGCTATTCCAGAGTGAGTGCCCTTCATTTTTAATGAGACATTTTGCAACTACCCTCTCTCATAAACTAAACTCATTTGTCAATAACACTGTGGTATTAAAAAGAACAAAAAGTAAATGACAGGCGACGTTTAGGGCAATGGCCCTTCTTCACAGGCACACGGAGATAATAGGTGTGTTTGAGTAACCTCCATGGCATACTATTAGAAGAAGTGCGACACCGACACCAACTCGTGATAGACGACTGCCCAGGCTCGCCCCACATCGAGGAAGGGGCACCGCTGTGGCTAGGAGATGTTAACTACCTCGCCTGGTATGCAGGAGGTCGTGGGTTCAATCCCGAGCCTGACGCCTGCTGCTGTATATTCGAAGTTTGTGCGTTCTCTTTCCCGTGGTCGTGTGGATTTTTATCCGAGTCGTTTGGTTTTGAAACATGCTTATAGAGTAGGTGGCTGCTGCTCGACATGTCTACGTGATGAACCACTTCGTTGAGCTATGATTTGTGGCCAGGTCACTACTGTGGGCCTTACCTGGTAAAATAAAAAGTTTCGTTGATAGTTTGCTGCTGATGCAAATATCTCAACAATTCAGAATAAGAATATGTATTTATACTGGAGGAATCAGATGAGTTATAAAGCTACCTTTTTCACAGAGTCCAGTAAAGAGATCACACGGCCACGACAATAGGATGGAAGGGGGAGTAAACTGTTCGAGTGGCAGAAACAACAACAGCGTGGTTCCAGACCGAATCAATAACCCAGGCGCCACCCACCCCCCTTGGAAACACGCGGGCGGCACGGGCTAGGGCTCCAGAGTCTGGAGATGATTGGCCCTCCCTCATCAGCCACCTGCAGGGCCACAGATAAGACATTGATAATGGAAGACAATCATCATCGGCTGCGAGGGGTTGCCGAAGAGGAATAAGAATAGAATCCTTAACCCAGTGTAGAGGGAGAATTGCAGTAACCCCGATTCGACCGAGCAATTTAATCTCTATCGTTCGCTGGGGGTGTTTGGTTGTGTTTATCGTTGCAGTGGCATTTCTCCGAGTTGGGAGTTGGGATTTTTACAACAGATTAGCAGGGGAGGTCTTAGCAAGTTAAATGAGGCGAGGCGCCATGGCACACGAACTGATAGTTTCCTTGTCGGGAAAAAAACAACGTTATGAATAAAAATACGCCATAACATAATAATTTGCATTATTCTATATACTGACCTGCTCACAATATACCAATTACTTTCAATTAACTTAGAAGTGTATGACAATAATAACAGATAGATCAAATTGACCAATGTGTTGAAGGAATTTTACAAGCTTAATGGTTTTGTGCCGTTCGTGTTTAGGCGTTTCCCCAGCGTCTCAAAGCTGCGGGGAATTCGCCTTCACGTTGTGAATTAACAGGACGCAGTGCCGGATTATCCTCGTAGCAAAAGTAGCTACACATGCTACAAGCCCCGCACTTTCAAGGGCCCCGCGCTAAATGCTTTCAAGCTATCAATTCTGGTGCACTTGCTCTATTACTACAGTACTATTCTGCCTTCAACTTTGATGAACGACTGGGTGTTTAATGTTAGCGATTTGTCTATTATCTGGCTGTATAGAAAATAATTTTTTTTTTACTTTACTATGCAAGTTAAAAATGTTTATTTTTATTTTTTAGGGCCCCTTTATAACATATGCTACAGGCACCACACTTCCTTAATTCGGCACTGGCAGGACTGCCACCGGGGAGAGATGGAGCGACGAAATCAGCTCGCGTGCCGGTGCTGGGTGGATTGTTGCATCGCAGATTCGCGAGACATAGTTACGGCATCAAGGGAGTCCTTTATCCAGCAGTGGATTGATCATGGCTCACGATTATAATAATGAAGAACGTGATTGAAAGTAGCAAGTCTTTGTGTGTCAATTCCCTATTGAGGTTCAACCCCAACAGTCTAACCAGCAGCATCGCGAGAATCGACAAGGCAGCCGTGCTCCACACATCCAATTAGCGCGGTTGGACGCATACGGTGCGAAAGAAGTTCAACATATCCCCCTCCACCCCTCCGGGAACCTTGCTCACCTCCTGGTCTCTGCCCTCCGAGAAGTTGGGCACGCACTCCACCAGCTTGTCCATCGCTCCGGTCGGCTCTGTCGGTGGGACGACTCGAGAGGGCGACGATGCTGCTGCTGCTGCTGATGATGGAAACTCGCCCGGCCCACGGCGTACAAACTCCATGTGGTTCATGAATCTGTGCCCAATAAATACCCGCGAGTGGGAGGGCACCAAATGATCACATACACAAACAAGGCAAAGACAAAGATACCCCGTTTAACCGAACGCTGACGTGGCAAGAGCAAAGACAAAGGGACTCCCCGTACAGGTGTCCCTCGATTTACGAAAGGGATGCGTTCTTCGTCAAAATAAGCGTGAAACAAAATTTTGTAAATCGGAATGACTTTTCCAATTGATGAAATATTCAAAATTAAGGATGTGTTTCGAGCCGTCATTTCAACTCTACTCCGAACTTAAAAAGTATACACCTATATCACTTTTCGCAATACAATAATAATACTACTACACAAAATGTAAATAATAAAACGATTGAATAATAATACGTGATTTTTTTTACCTTTTCAGGGAACTCACTAACAGATTTGCTGCATGTTGGAATGTTTGGAAAGGCGAAGTGGTGGAGGCACGACTGTTGCACACCGCAGGGACGATCGCACGGCGCGTGGTCGTCGTGAAATGTCGCTAACGTGGAAATTCCATTTTTGTCAGGTCGAAAATTGACCATAATTTAAACCTTATGGAGGGACCCCGGGTCCCGAATAAATGGAAGTCAAAATAGTAATGAATTAACTTTTGGCGACTCCGTCCCACAACGCACATAAAACGCCGCGACCCACCTGGCGCGTATCATTATGTTGTCATGTCGTTCAAGCGCACCGAGGACGAATGCGCAGAAGAAACAAAACTTTGATTAGCGCATCGTGTAGAGCTCGTCGAGAGGAATAGATTGCCGTGTCGTTCGCCTTCAACAAACATAAAATGACGTCGCAACGCAGTTTATGCGAGAGCCGGGAGGGATACCTGTATAGATTGTTGCGGGCAAGTGCTGTTCGCGAGCACCTATTAAGGCCCAGAATGAGACATAAGGGAGTGGTGTGGACATCACCGCGTGAGAACGTTTTTTTTCTCCCCAGTGATGATGTTTACACATCACAGAGAGGTACTCATTTAAGGCTGAATCGACCTCGGGAGGCCCAGGACCCATTCAAATAATCGTCACCGATGTTGGGAATGAGCGGGAATGGAATTCGGGTCGCCGGGTTCTCATCACATGTGCGCTAACCACTGCGCCACCGCTCCCCTCACGTGCACACACGTGCACACGCAAACGTGGGTGGCCCTTTCTGTTGCTGCTCACACCCCCACGCACACCCCCGCGAGAAGACCAATCACGGCCCTGCGGGTCCTCCCTCTGCCAGGCGACCGCTGACCCCCACAGGTCGAGGTCCCAGCCGCCTCCATCGACTCGAATCCTGGGTGAGCCGCAGCCATGATGAGAGGCTGGCTGTACCGCGGTGGCTAGGAGATGTTACTGGTAGGAACCTCCTGGTTACACCAGCCCACAGGGGATTATTGTGTCTGTCTGTCCGTCGTGCATCCAAAAATGGGAGGGGTGGGGCTGGGTGGAGAGGGGAGGGTGGGGAGGGGCTGGGTGGGGAGGGTGGGGAGGGGCTAGGTGAGGAGGGGAGGGGCTGGGTGGGGAAGGTGGGGCTGGGTGGGGGGTGGGAGGGGTGGGGCTGGGTGGGGAGGGGCTGGTCACCCCGTGGTGCCCTTATAAAACTCAACGTTTAACCTACTCACGCCGGCTTGTGTCCGCCCTCACAGTCGGCCATATTTGCGGAATACACCACGGCGCCGTTGACCCTGGCCATTGACCGAGCAACCCAACGTTCCTACCAGCTCCCTCCGCAGGAATGTGTTAACTCCCTTGCCTGGTATGCAGGAGGTCGTGGGTTAGATCCCGGCCCTGACGCCTGCTGTATATTTGGAGTTTTGCGTGTCTCTCTCCCTCCGTGGTGGTGTGGATTTTCTTCGGGTCCTTCGGTTTTTGCCCTCCACATTTCGAAACACGCGTTGAGAGTATTTGGCTGCTATAAATATGTCCACGTGATAAGCCACTTCCACGTGAGCTATCATATGTGGCCAGGCCGCTTCTGAAATATTGCAATGAAGCTCAGTGGATCTTATTTGATCAAATAAACACATTTCAGTTTACTTCAGGACCCTTCTGGAGATTTCCCTTGGAGGTGCAAGTTTTGAAACCCTCATAGCCCGGCATAGACGGGCATATTCATTCAATTGACTGGAAGAAATGTTAGTGAGGATATAAATGACCAAATTAGCATGTCTCGTGTAATTTATATGCAAATGACAAGGTACTTTGAGGTGTGTAATTCAGATACCAATTACATTTAATTAGATGGAATTTACAGACTCTGCACGATACAGGTGCATGTCTTGGATACACAGGTGCATGCGTCATGGGTACGCAGGTGAGTAACCATATAAGTACATAGGTTACACAGGTACACACAGGTGAATGTGGTATAGGTACAGAGGTGCATGGTTCAATCGCACAGGGGAATACAGCATCTCATAAGTACACCGTTCACATATTGGAGCTGCAAAGGCTCACGTCCAATTTATGCACGGAGAAATACAATCACAGGTTACGTGCTCTGTGACCAGCAGCTGAGCTGCAGATTGACCCGACGACGCTGTCCACGCGGGCTGAGGTTGGCCCACTGCGCTGACAACCCGCCTTAACCCCCTCTGCTCCACCTCGTGAGCCCCGCTGCTGCCCTGTGCCCCACCCAACTCCTGGCTGCGGATCCACGAGGGCTGGTGGTACCAGCGCGACCCAGCGAGCAGCTCGCACGCCGAGGTGCTCACGGCCACGTGGCACGGAGGGAACGTGTGCGTGCACCCGCAAAGCGAGCTGGCGCGCGACGAACGGACGGCGCTGTTCGTGGGTCGGCAGAACTTCTCTCTGCTGATAAGGGGCGGCTCTGGTGCGTGCCCCACGGCACTGCACAAAACTCCCGAGGCTGCAGGGACGCAGGCAGGTGCGTTGGAATTTCCTCCAGCGCACCGACGCCACGCGCCAAGCGGGAAAAACGAGTGGTCCTTAAGCTCGCAATAGGTATTGTCCAGAAATAAACTGAGTGACCGCGTTTTATATATTTTCGGCCACAGTTTTTTTTTAATTGACGAATGTGATGAGATTGTGTTCTTATCTGCTTTGGAAGCCCGCTTGTTGTTTGTTCGTCCGTCCGTCCCTCCAGCTAAACAGCCAGCAAAACTTTGTGTGTGTTTAGTTTGTTGTCCTCCCCCGCACCTCCGATGAGCTATGTACGGTTGGCTACGTACGGTGTGAAAGAAGTTTAACATACATAAAAGTACCCATTCAGACTCTGTCGCCTCGACGGACCTGGTTTTCACCTGAGGACGGCTGCTTGCGTTGTGGCCGAAACGTCGTGAGAATAATTTTATTGTTTTATTTTTATTATTTTATTACTTCCCTTCTACGTGACTTTACCGAAAGAACCAAGAAGATAAAAGTACCCGTCATTGAACAAAGGTCCTCCCCCACCTGCAACGTATCCATCTCCCCACCCCTGGATGACCCCCTCTCGAGCGTGACAACTCCCAGCCCCCCGCAATGCGCACCCTCCTCAAACGCCCCCAACCGCGCGCCCCCCTCTCTTCTGCGCGTTGGGCGGCGTGGGGCCTCCAGCCAACCGGAACGAACGCATGTGGCCAACTAGACAAGCCAGCCAGACAGCGAGTCAGCTGAAACTTTTTTTCTCATATTCGTATGCTGCTTGTGCACCACTGCCCAACACGACAGCATGATCACCAAATCAATCGTAAAGAAAAAAAATGCAGTTAAGCACACTTGGTTTTATTTGATACAAAATAAGACGCAAGAAGGTGAATCTTTCATTGTACGATCATTATTACCATCATCATCATCATCATAAGTAGCGAAGTCACAAAATCAGCGAGTATAACATACACATGTTACCGCGGTATGTAATTTTAATATTGCTGAGAGCAGGAGCACGAACTGTGACCGAAAGTGTGAACATGAGGACAAGAAGCGCGCGTCACGCACGCGTGCGACACCTTTGTGACCGTTCACCGACGTGGCGGACAAAGGCAAATTTTTGCACGGACATGGGAGCTGCGTTTTATCTTACGTCAGTTAAAAAAAAAGCGGTTATTCATTTAGAAAGTGCAGTTAATCATAGCCGCTATATAGTACGTAACATGTATGTCGTGAATGATTACTATAACACGAGGCATATCACTACAGTGTACGAGAAGCTGAGCATCCAGTACGTTACTCACTTAGCTACGGAACGTGCTGCGGAAACACAAAACGTCGTCATCCATTAATCACAGAAAAGTGTCACTGAATTGCAATGATTATTTTCGCCGTAAGCTCCCGCCGCGTTGGGGTTTAATCCTAGTAAGGGCTCACGGAGCATCGACCACGCGTCAAATATTGTTCTGTCGCAGTCGTAACCTAACGTAGCCAGTGACTTGCTGTTAGCGGCTGGGTGTCGTGGGTATCCTACTGGCAAGCGGGAAAACCTATGGCCTGCAGAAAGCAGACAATATACGGTCTGCACCTTCATCGTACACGGCCCACGACCGCATGAGGCCTGCCACTTTGAAAGGGCCCTGCAAACCGATATTTCTCAGTTACTGCATCTTAGCCGCACTGATCGGGTCCTGGAGGTGAATAATATTGATCTCAGCAATACTGCGTGATTTGTTTAATTTCAGTGTGCTCGGTCACTTCTATCACTTGAAGGGCCTCTTTGTGCTCGTACAACCTGCACGATATGATTGGATGATGCCAAGATGGAAGTGGAGGATGTCCTACAGGGAGGGTGGGAGTTTTGGATGTCCTACAGACAGGGTGGGAGTTGAGGATGTCCTACAGGGAGGGTGGGAGTTGAGGATGTCCTACAGAGATAGTGGTAATTGAGGGTGTCCTACAGGGATGGTGGGAGTTGTGGATGTCCTACAGGGAGGGTGGGAGTTGTGGATGTCCTACAGAGATAGTGGTAATTGCGGATGTCCTACAGGGAGGGTGGGAGTTGAGGATGTTCTACAGGGAGGGTGGAAGTTGAGGATGTCCTACAGGGAGGGTGAGAGTTGAGGATGTCCTAC